TAAACAGTAAGACCCGATAAGAGGTCTTACTTTCAAAAGTAAGACCTGCTACTGGGTCTTACTTTTAAAAAGTAAAACCTCCAACTCAGCAAGATGTCATTACATAACATTACCTCCAGTATAATGGGACATATCAGTGATAGGTTTATATCATCTGTGATAAACCTCCACTCTGTGTGAACTGCTCTGGAAACCACCCCTCTTCATCCAAGGAATGTCCAACTTGGAAACTCCAGTCTAACATTTCACGAGTCAAGCACGAACGCAACATTTCTTTTTTTCGATGACAAAAAGATTGTTCTTGATCAGGAACATCCAGGTCCAACCTATTCTACTGCTCTTTCCGCTTCTGTACAGGTCTCTAAGCCTAAACGTGTAACATGTCACTCCACAGGTAGCCAGACCGACTACATGTGGACTAAAACATCTTGTCTAACGTTATTGTCTGCAGCAGTTCAGGTGAGACCTTCACAGGAGAATTCTAGTTCTCAAACAATCAACACGTCACAGGAAATCATTCAGTCCAAGGCATCTTGTGATAAGGAATCAACATTAACTCAGGAACAGTAATCAGCAAAATTAGCTCAACCATCTAACTCAGACAAAAGTATCAAACAAATTAAGTCCAAACCAAAAGCAGAATCTTCCAAAAGGTATCAGAGTGGTAGAGCCTCAAAAGGGGCAGAAAATAAGATCCAACTTTTTAATAGGTATGGATCACTTGAGGACATGGATGTGTCCGAAATCAGCCATCAAAGGGCACATAGCTTGTCGCCCTCAAGGAAGATGAGGGGTTGATCTCCTGTCAATCCCCCGAAAAGTTTTTTCAACTAATATTGTACAGTGGAATTGTAGAGGGATAAAGACTAATATTAATGAACTACATCTATTAGTCCTAGATTTTAATCCATCAGCATTCTGCTTACAAGCGACATATGTAAAGCAGACAGACAATTTTAATTTACGTCAATTCAGTGCATATCATTCGTTTTCTGATCCAGGTGATATGGCCAATGGAGGATCTTCAATCATTGTGCGACCGAATGTTATCCACAGTGCTGTTGTACTTAATACTAATCTGCAACCATTGCAGTGCGACTTACTTTGCAGGTTGCATTTACATTGTGTTCTCTTTATGTTCCACCGTCATCAGCTCTCCAGCAGTCTGGTCTTCAAAATCTTTACGATCAACTCCCTAAACCATGTATAATCATGGGTGATTCGAATGGCCACAATCCACTCTGGGGTGGTACAAGCACAAATACTAAAGGTAAAGTACTTGAAGATTTTATATCAAATAATGATCTGTGTATCTTTAATGATGACACCCACACTTATCTGCATCCTGCAACTAGCACTTACTCTTATTTGGATTTGTCACTTACTGACTCTAATCTGCTCAATGATTTTGATTGGTCAGTCCACAATGATCTTTGTTGAAGTGACCATTTCCCAACTATTCTATCAACTGTCAATCTGACTGATGTTCCACCTTCTACAAGATGGCATTTTACAAAGGCAAACTGGTCTTTATTTCAAACAATGTGCTTAAATATATTTAAACCCGAATGTTTCACTGTTTTTACCGATCCAATTCAGGATTTTTCTGACATTTTAAATGGAATTGCTGACGAATGCATTCCTAAATCCTCTACAATTCCACATATACGTAAACCATGGTTTAACACCGAATGTAAACAAGCGAGAAAAGCGAGGAAAAAGGCAGAGAAATATTTTCGCCGCCAGTCAACTGTCCACAATTTAAATAGATTTAAAATGTGAAATGCAAAAGCTCGTCGAGCATTTAAACAAAATAAACGCCTATCATGGCAAAGCTATGTCTCTAAAATAAATACCCGTACACCAATATCTATGGTTTGGAATATGGTGCAACGGATAAAGGGTAAAGGATCAAATCTTGTGTTCACCATCTTAAGGAAGGTGTAAACTATTAACCGATAAATGTGATATAGCAAACAAATTAGGAGAAACTTTAGCTAAACATTCCTCCTCATCCAATTATACACCAAAATTTCAAAAATTTAAAGACCAACAAGAAAAAAAGAAAATTAATTTTAATTCTGATAATGATGAAGATTATACGATTTTTTTTCCATCCATGAGCTGCATACCGCCCTAGGGCAAGCTCATGATACAGCCACGGGTGCTGAAAATATTCATTATTAGTTACTCAAACATTTACCCGAGTCATGTTCAGAAACATTATTAAATATTTTTGACCATATCTGGACAACGGGGAATTTCCCTTCATCATGGCGAAATGCTGTTCTGATACCAATACCAAAACCTGGCCGGGATCATACTGATCCTTCTAATTATAGGCCGATATCGCTTACTAGCTGTGTATGCAAGACCATGGAAAGAATTGTAAATAACCGACGTATATGGTATTTAGAAACAAATAATCTTTTAACTAATGTTCAATGTGGTTTTAGAAAAAATAGAAGTACAGTTGACCATTTGGTTAGACTGGAACATTTGTGAAAAATGCTTTAATTAATAAACAACATGCGGTATCAATATATTTTTATTTAGAAAAAGCATATGATACCACCTGGGGACATGGAATTTTAAAAGATCTTTATGACATGGGATTGAGAGGGCGTTTGCCTTATTTTGTAGATCGGTTTTTAACAGATAGAAATTTCAAGGTTCGTGTGGGATCAACCATGTCTGATTTTTACGATCTAGATCAAGGTGTCCCACAAGGTAGCATATTATCAGTAACGTTCTTTACCATAAAAATAAATAGTTTATCCAAGGTTTTAAATGACTCTGTTGACGGGTCTTTGTTCGTTGATGATTTTAATGTATCATATCGAGGTAAAAAATATGCACACGATTGAGAGACAGTTGCAACTTTGTCTTAATAAAATCAATGTTTGGGCAGAGCAGAACGGATTCAAGTTTTCTACGTCTAAAACAAATTGCATTCATTTCTGTCGAAAATATAAACCACATAAGGACCCAGATTTACATCTATCTGGAACTCCAATTAAAGTTGTAAAAGAAGCTAACTTTTAAGGAATAATTTTTGATCATCACCTTACGTTTTTACCACATATTAAATATTTGAAAGCTAAATGTCTGAAGGCACTAGATCTATTAAAGGTTGTTTCTAATTCCAAGTGGGGAGGAGATCAAACGACCCTCCTTCACTTATATAGATCACTTGTCCGTTCTAAGTTCGATTATGGCTCCATCATCTATGGTGGAGCTTGTAAAAGTAACCTTAACTTACTCGATCCCATACATCACCAGGGTCTAAGACTTTGTCTTGGATCTTTCAGAACTTCTCCCATTGACAGCCTATACGTTGAGGCCGATGAGCCGCCACTTAAACTACGCCGTATTTAACTATCTTTGCAGTATATCACAAAGTTAAATTCTAATCCATCTAACCCTGCATACAATTGTGTATTTAATTCTCTTTGTGAGGATCTGTACAGTAAGAAGTCATCTCTTATTCCGCCTCTCGGAATAAGAATTAAACCTTTTATTACTGCTGCAAATATTGATCTCGAAAATATAGCTCCTTTTCGCCTGCTTTCTTCTACTCCTTGGCAGTTGGTAAAGCCACAGGTGGATCTTACCTTATCTAAACTAAAGAAATCTGACACTAATCAACTACAATATCAACAAGAATATAATCAGTTAAGAAGTGAATATGATACTTACAAATCTATATTTACTGATGGATCCAAGGATGGTGATGCCGTTGGCAGCGCCACTATCATTGGATCCAGAACCTTATCAACTCGATGACCTGATAATTCATCCATTTTCACAGCTGAATCAAAGACTATTTTAACTGCTTTAGAATATATTAATAAACAGACTAAACATAAGGAATTTCAGACTCTCTCCTGTCTTCAGGCTGTTAAAAATTCTTCGTGTCAGCCTCCAATTTTACAAAATAAACTTGCTACTGGCCAATACGACATCATCTTTTGTTGGTTACCCAGCCATGTTGGAATTGTTGGTAATGCAATGGCTGATGCTGCAAAAGCAGCACTCAACAAATCTGTGACGCCACTTCTTGTACCATACAGTGATTATAAACCTGTCATTAGATGTTTCGTCAGATATCTAATGCAGAAAAAGTGGGACAACCAAGTGGGTATACATAAATTACATGCAATAAAAGCAAATATCGGTCATACCTACTTGGGCTGTCAGTCCAGATTTGACGAGGTAATTTTAAGACGATGTCGCATTGGCCATTCTCGTTATACTCATGAATATATATTAAAAGGTGAGGATCCTCCATTCTGCATGCCTTGTGATGAAAGAATCACGGTCAAGCATGTGCTGCTTGACTGCATTGATTTTTCCATCACAAGGGATAAATATTTCAAAGTTTCAGCTATGAAGGACCTTTTAACACAGGTAAGTTCTCATTTAATTCTTGTTAAAGGAAATTGAATTTATTCATAAATGTTGATAGATAAATTTTGTACATAAATACATAACTTTTATAATTGGAAGTATGAATCAATAACTGAGATTGTTAGTGGCTATATCCTCGAAGGGTGTTAAAGTAGTGTAAAATGATTGCCCCCCTGAGAGGGTATGTAAGACCACGTCTTTCAAAGAATGTTTATTTCTGCCACGTTTTTAATCGCAGCATATATGTTCCTTTAAATTTTGGCTGAATTTGTCAATAATCGCCAACAGCTGAGGGGATGATGTAAATCCGGCTGGGGTCCATGCAGGTAGCAAAAGAACTGTAAGTCCCCATTGACCCTAGCATGGTGATCTACCTTCAGATGCTGGCGATGACTATTTAGTGACATCTTTTTATTGTTGTATGCTAGTTTTAAACATTAAATCTGTGATATCCTAGTATGTTTACTGTCTATCACTGACAGGTTCTTATTTGGTTTAAATATATGTATAAATACTGTATAACTTCTCGTCACGATATGGCTGAAATATTGCCGATGTGACGTAGATGATAAACTCACTCACTCACTCACCTTGCTTAACGTCGTGTCTTCCAACAACCTACAAGCACTGAAGACACAAGACCACAAAACAATATAAACCTGTTAATGATGGGGCTTATATACCTGTATAATAATTGAACACTACGCTTGAATCATCGCTTCTTAGCGCACCTGGTCAGAAACTGTTAATTAAACAATGTCATCGATAGATCATGCACATTTAAGACGTGATTACAGTAAACTGATCTATTGTGTTTAGCAAATAATACTAGGCAGTTTTCTATTCGCAAGATTCGCATAAGTAAACAATGAATGTAAACAATGGAAACTGTTGAGTGAATGAGCAAGTGAGTATGGTTTTACGCCGCTTTTAGCAATATTTCAGCAATGTCACGACGGGGGATACCGGAAATGGGCTTCACACATTGTAGCCATGAAGGGAATCGAACCCGGGTCTTCGGCGTGACGAGCGAACGCTTTAACCACTAGGCTACCCGACCGCCCCGGCAACTGTTGAGGCAACTATTTATTGCTGTGTTTTTGTGTTGCGATCAACCAGAAATAAAAAAGGCAAATGTTGATTTGATTCACTGTTCAAATCGGCGTTAAACCAAACTTAATCACTCAATCTTTACCGCACCTGAATTGTAATGTGTATTGAATATTTGCAACATGGTAAAAGGGGACCTTGATTGGGATCATCTGGTCAATGGTCGTTTCAAGTCAGTACTAACTGCTAATTTAGAAATATATGCGAAACATGTATGTTCCTCAGGATACCGTATACCACAAAGATACATGTGTACGTGACGGTCAGTTGTGACGTGGGAGAAGACAGATATCCCGAATGCCCTGAAGTTGTTGGCTCTGGCGTCATACACCATTTGGCCACCAACGCCCCTTGACACCCCCACACACCACACACCACACACCACACACACCACACACACCACACACCCCCACACACCACACACACCCTATCATTTAGTATGGCATGGTTGTGATTCTTGGTGTGTGAGCAGGATCGAGGATTACACCAAGTGGTACATGTCAAAGACTTGCATTACACATAAATTATATGAAATTATTAAACCCAAACCACTCACCTACAAACGATTTCTCTACATTATATGGTTTATATCGTGCAAGGTGAGCTACAGTACTCCCAGGTATAATATCACAATAGGTGAACCGCGTATGCTGTTTTGAATGGACAGTCATCCTCTACAACAAATATGTGCAGTATTAATTAAGTTTTCAGTAACGATTTCTATGCACGGCTCAGTTCCACGATAGTGTGACCGTGTTTACTAATGCCAATATTATAATAATAATGTTAGTTCACGTCATGTTTGTATTCACGGGACAATTTTCATCAATCTAAATATTTGTGTTCAAACACCGTAAATAAAACAATCCTGAAAAATCCATTTTAGATGCCGTCTATATCATAATCTAGTGTTCATAAATAACCATGAAAAAGTGATGAAACACATGATTTGTCCACGTGATCTTGATAAAATACTATGAAACTCGCCTTGACGGGTAATAAATTTCTCAGAGGGGAAATAAATCTCTTATATCCGCCACGAGCAATACACCCTCCACGTGGATTTCTGAGAGGCAGAATAAATCCCTTATACCAAAATTTTAAAAAAAGCCTGACACTTTTTCCGAGTCAAAGGAGGCCACGTGACATAGCACAAGTTAACCTCAGCTCAATCGAACAGCTGTTTTCTATCAATTTTGAATTGTGGTAATTCGTTTACAGTGTCAAGTTAAAACATGTCTGTCGGTAAGATAAATCGTTGTAGCACAATCACTCGGGGTATATAGGATTTTATGCGTCCCTCGTTAGGTGTTATAAGCGTATTGTAACATTTACGTGTCTCAGCCGTTCTCTTGTATTTATTATGTCACCTGAACACACTTGAGAAGGAATGCGTGCTGTTTGTTCAAACACGGGTAAAATACCTTTGTCAGTCCGACCATGGCAATGCTGTAGCCTTAGGAAGATGCGCCGTGACCTATTCCAAGACCTTCTGCGAGGATCACCATAGCACCTTCCACAGAGATGCCTCTGTTGACTGCGTGAGCAGGCGGTGGTGGAAGGTAGGCAGTCCGCGCGCATGTGCTGTAGTCGCCAATTGAGTCAATAATCGACAGGAAAGTTGACACAGAGAAACTTGTAAATGCAAATACGTTGAATTGAGGCATTCCAAATTGACCTGCGTGTACATAATGTGATTGATAAAGCATACCCTGTGTACATCCATACATGGACTGCCAACATGAAGGTGTTAAATATAATTTTATCATAATTTTATTGCGTGATAGTAGTGTTATTGTAAAGCCACTAAACGTGGTCATCTCTAAGATGATATAGAAGCAGTTTGGGCATTAAGGGTGGAGCCTCTGATTGTTGTTCAAAATAATAATTATAAGCATATTCTGAATGGCTCGCATAGATTTGTTCACAAGAATGGAAAAAGTTAGGTGATATTGTTTTTCAAATTTCACACTATCGTTAGAGTAGAGTGACATCGATGGTAACTAATTTTATTTCATTCTGTCTGCGATGTATTGGCATCGGGCCATGAACAATCGCAATGCATCAACAGATCGATCAATAATTACGCTTCGAATCAAAGAATTAATGATCATAGTTAATTGTTCATCAGAAGCACAAAACATAATTTGATCTTGATATTTAAAAGAAATCTGACTCAAAGAGTTACAACACCGTGCAAAAAAAGTTATGGATCATGAACATTTTTCATGTATGCTGGTATTTTTTTTAAAGTATATCTCACCTTTTTCCATAATCCAGGCAACCTGTCTGGTATATCTCACCCTTTTCCATATCGATAATCCAGGCAACCTGTCTGGTATATCTCACCTTTTTCCATATCGATAATCCAGGCAACCTGTCTGGTATATCTCACCTTTTTCCATATCGATAATCCAGGCAACCTTTCTGGTATATCTCACCCTTTTCCATATCGATAATCCAGGCAACCTTTCTGGTATATCTCACCCTTTTCCATATCGATAATCCAGGCAACCTTTCTGGTATATCTCACCCTTTTCCATATCGATAATCCAGGCAACCTGTCTGTCACCATTCACCTGATGAAGGAGAAAGTACATACTCCGAAACGTTGTGTTCCTCATAATAAAGAAGATGACATCCATAAATTCTCTTCCTGTCCGATCATGTTTAGCTGATGAATTATGCTGTGTAAAACTGACAATTGTCACATGTGGATAGAATGTCGGTAATCAATAACAGCGTGAAATATGTGAATGGACATAAAGGATATTTGTCCATGTTTGATGATTTGAGTTGATATTTTGCATGAACTTATTTCAGAATTTTATTTGTAGCTTATACAATTATTGTAACCATTCACAACAGGCACACGAAAGGAGCGAGGTTTGGATTGGTGGGAGAAAGACACCGCCCACCATCCGGGTCACGAGACGTCAACAGAGTACCAGTATGAGGAAGGAAGTGATGTGTATGAGCCATCGTTAATCCCAGAACGCTGGAAGCGATCAAACTGGACCCGTTTTTCCCTGTCAAACCAAATTACCATTAACGAAGTGTAACCAAAGTATACATTTAATTTCCAACATGAAATCTGTTGATGATGGAATTCGGAAGCGCTGTCTCATATTTAAAGACCAATATATTTAGCAGTGTGTCAGTATAGATTGGAGTATGTTTACTATAGTGAGTGAGTAGGGTTTTACGCCGCCTTTAGAAATATTCCAGCAATATCACGGCGGGGGACACCAGAAATGGGCTTCACACATTTTACCCATGTCGGGAATCGAACCCGGGTCATCGGCGTTACGATCGAACGCTTTAACCACTAGGCTACCCGACCGCCCCTGTCTACTATAGAACATCACTAAAACATTATTTTCGTCAGTAGTTATAGTTGTCTCAAAGGCATGACTCCCTTAAGCCTGATGTTTTATTTTACATTAATTTATTTTTAATACGACAATGGAACGACACATTCAAGAGCCTACATCGTCATAACTGTATTGTAACAGTCATGGCATCAGCTATGCTAAACAGATCAACATGATCTGCCCTGTGGGTAAGCTGTAACGCGTCGCAGACTTCAAGCTATCAAGGTGCATAGGCAAATAAACATTTAAAAATTATTATGTTCAGTGGAAGGGGATTTTTCAAAAAGAGGAACTTGAAATTAATCGATCATGTGGAAGATATATGAAGAAGTAAAAACAAACAACTGCAGAAGTAGATTTAATCCAATTCCTGCTGACAACAAAACTTTTATGTTAGTGTGAGCGAGTCGGGGGAGGAAAGTCATAAAACCCGCGTTACCTCCGTGTTCATTAGTATATGCAATCGTATTTAAAGAAAATAGATAATTGTGCCACGACTTTGAAGTTGATGTCCAATCATGACTTTAGAAATGATTGAAAAAAAAGATTGATATACTGGGTATGGGAAGTGAAGCTTAACGTCTGTGGGTGTGTATGTTGTATGAAGATATGAACTTTTTGCTAAATCACGACATTATAGTATTAATTCTATTGTCTGTTGTATAATATGTATAACAACCTTCTGTTGTCACTGTTTAACCTACTCACGTTGATGTATGCAATTGTTGTTACTGTTAATCCTCCACCTACTGTATATATTCTGTACCATGTTCATAATTCAGCCTTTCTTGACAACGGTACAAGGATCTTTACCGAAACGTCACCTTCACAGTAAATTGTCTCTTCTTTGTCTCCTGTAACCAGTAGACTCATGCCTAGAAGTAAGCTGCCTTGGCATAGGGAAGGTGCTTGTCCCATGATTTTGGTTTCCAATCTGCATATAAACACGGGATCGGGTGGTCAGGCTCACTGACTTGGTTGATGCATGTCATCGTATCCCAGTTGAGTGGATCGAATATTGCTGAGTGCGGCGTTAAGCAACTGACAAACACAACACAAACAACAAACAAGGCATATAAACAGAGCATGGCACCCAAGGTATGGTCAAAACGCTCAACGGTTGAAGAGCTGTTGCCCTTGTTTTCACAATGCCAAGCAACTTCTTGGAAGAGTAGCCTAATTATGTCTGCTCTGGTCACTGTGTATTAGTGCATGTGTACCAAAGCGCAAAAGCACTCTTCCCCTATCTTTTTGGCTACTGTTCTTGCCTCAATATTTGAAATGGCGTAAGCGTCAGTCCACTTTGTAAAAGCATTGGAAACCACCGAAATGAACTTGTTACCAGTCTGTGAATGATCGAGGAGCCCCATAATGTCAGTAGTAAGTCGCCCCATAGGTGCTCTCTACTTAGAGGGTCGTTTCCGAGCAGAACACGTGTCACATTTAGAACATTGTTGTCTAATGCCTCTGTTCATGTCAATCCAATAATAATACTCTTGGATTTTTTAGAGTCTAATGCATCCAAAATGACCTCCCAAAGGGGAATCATGATTATCTGTCAGGAGATGGCGATGCTTACAAGTTGGCATGACAATCTGTCAATGCCATCTTTGATCTCCCACCTTGTATGGAGTACCCTTTTTACCTCACAAACACTTGAAGTCTCAGCATTGCAATAGCCCGCTGTGAATCAGCTGTGAGAGAATATTGTGATTGCGCCTCTACGGCAATCCTCTCTTTTTCCAGCTGAATCCTAGAGTCTGTTAACTTAGAGTTCAATGTAACATTGTCATCCACCAAATCTCGACCTAAGTCCGAGATGGTAGGTTGGCTGTTCCCTCCGTGTGTTGCGGAGCTGCTCTCCATGGGGATTGATTCACACACTGAGACGCCCAATGTCCAGGTTTAGGACAGTTTGAACAAAACGAATTTGTCACGCCTAGATGTTCCCTGAGCTCTGCGCATGCCCCTATTTTGGGTATCCCAAGGACTGCCATTGGGAGAATGGCTCATTGAATTGTTTTGTCTCATTGGGCTCTGTCTGTCTGTCTGTCTAATAGTTGCAACAATATTGACTTCTAATAGTTTACGTGACTCGGAGTATTAATTTTCCAGATTATTCAACTTCCGGATGATAGAGATCCATTCATACAATTTTCACCGCAATTTTGCCTTTTACAAGTGATGAAATCTGTTTCGATGGATGATCGAGTTTATTCTGGCGTTGACATTTAAATGCAGTGTTATCTAATACTTTACAAATATGCAATTATCATCACATATTTACTGCAACTTTATAACATGGTACATTACATCATATATGTTACTGCAATCTAATGCAGTATAATACATGACATCACATGATTACTCCAAGCATATGCAATATGATACATGACATCACTTGATTACTCAAAGCATATCCAATATGATACATGACATCACATGTTTTCTCAAAGCATATGCAATATGATACATGACATCACATGATTACTCCAACAATATGCAATATGATACATGACATCACATGATTACTCCATGCATATGCAATATGATACATGACATCACATGATTTCTCCAACAATATGCAATATCATACATGACATCACATGATTACTCCAACAATATGCAATATGATACATGACATCACATGATTACTCCAACAATATGCAATATGATACATGACATCACATGATTACTCCATGCATATGCAATATGATACATGACATCACATGATTTCTCCAACAATATGCAATATCATACATGACATCACATGATTACTCCAACAATATGCAATATGATACATGACATCACATGATTACTCCAACAATATGCAATATGATACATGACATCACATGATTTACTGCCACCATTCGCAGTATGAGAAATGACATCCTGTTGTAAGATACAGAGAGAATATCACTGTTTGTGACGTGGTATTACGGGGATGAAACGGGCCCATTTTGACCTTCTGAGTCGCCGTGGTATAAAGAGGGGATCATACACCTCCGACCCCTCTACATACGGGTTCTCAGCAGACGTGTTGTAGTCATCCTCCCACCAGTCCAGCCCCCGCTCGTGTCGTGTTCCTGTAGAAGCAGAAGCTTTTCATTTACACAATTATCGAGAAACATGCGTTTAACTAGCCACTAACATATAAATCTTATCATGTTGTGCAAATTCATCATTTCAACACCGGAGAAGAATCAGTCTTGAATATCTACCGAAACAGATTCCAAGGTGACATATAAGACAAATTACTTCCTAAATATTATTCTATAAGTCCAACTCTGGATAAACTAAAACAACTATATAGCTGCAACCTCTATGTTATAAGAAGATTTGCAAAGTATGTATTTCTCGCTCTCAAGAAAAGGAACACTCTTCTTAAAGATGTGCCTGTTATGTAGTACTATGCCATTGTAACAATGTGAGACAGTGTGTGTAACATGTGTTGGGACCCGATCCACGGGGCGTTTGTAGGTTATGACCGGCCTCAGTAACCCTCTGTGCATCCTTCTCAGCACTCCGATGAGTGTTGACCGCTTGTTCGTGGCTCGCGGGCGCTTTTGTGAATCGGTTCTCTGATGTAATAATCAGCGCTCTCTGTACATGTGAACTGACTAATCCAATGTACCTTGTATAATGGGCCGGTGGCCCCTTTACGGAATAAACGCATTCATTCATATAAAACAAATTAGTTATGTAAATTATAAGAATAGATCACTTAAAATCTATACTATTGCATGATGCTTTATTCCAATTATCAAAGTCAAAGAATATTCGCCGAAACAGACTCTAAAGGGCGTTAAATTTTAAATAGTGATAACATTATATGAATACATCCCTGAAACTCGGTGATGACACCAAATGGTGTAATATTATTATAAATATGATAACATCGTGTACATGTATCATGTTGACATGTAATGTGTCACATTTAGTGAGTAAGTGAGTATGGTTTTACGCCGCTTTTAGCAATATTCCAGCAATATCACGGCGGGGGACACCAGAAATGGGCTTCACACATTGTACCCATGTCGGGAATCGAACCCGGGTCTTTATCCACTAGGCTACCCGACCGCCCGTGTCACATTTAGCAAAATTCCTCTGAATGTATACTATATTGTCTTTACTTAACTTAAGGCCTGTGATGAAAATCTTACTTGTAATCAAAATATGTCTTTCCATGAATTTAATAAAAATGTACACGTCGTGTAGTTTGATGTGTAGAGGCAATTTGCTGGCGCTGATAGCATATCGCACGACCCGAAGGGACAAATCAAAATCATCAATTTTATCCTAAAGATTGGTACAGATGCTGTCATCATTTTGCGTTTCAATAAACAGGTCCAGATAGAACACTGAATGTGATAACGTACAGATCCCCAACAGTGGCTGCTGAAAATGTTGCCTGTGTCGTGAGCCAATGACATACGGAGATATATGTCGTGCACCGGTCTCGACGTTGGTGTACCCTCCATGTTATTTTATGTTCATAACACGGACATAAACTACATCCACCCATCAACTCATCCCCCCCTCGTGGCCGGTGGAAAACGAATTTATCTTACTGCACACCTAAATATATTGCACGTACGTCTTGTGCATGCTTGCTTTGGTCCAAATCGGTATGAATACCACAGTTAGGCATTTGTTAACTTCGTTCGTTTTTCACATTTATCGAAAAATATCAGACGAATACAAATTTAGGGTGATTCCCCAAGATCAAATTCTTTCGTCTTACATAATCAATTCGAGATAATAAATATTGTGGTTGGTATGTTGCAAATGCAATGCCAACAGTTCGGCAATTCGTGTGAAGAACATAAAAAATCTACCTTACATGTTTCCGGCGTATATTGAAATTTAATAGAATCCGACATTTATGTGCAAGATGAGATAATGCTGAATAAAGACTTTTATTATACCTGGCGTGGCGTTGTCTAGGACGCAGGCAATTACTCCGCCGATCAGCATTGGGTTGGACAGAAGGATCTTGATGAAACTGTCAGCATCTGAATTACCTGAAAGACACACAAAACTCAAGTCTTGCAGTGGTGTAATTAGCTTAAACAGACGAACAAGAGAACAGTTGTGTAATGTGTGACCCGTTCTCAACGCTGGAGGACATTCATTGGCACGCTAATATAACCTGACAACTAGCAGGAGACGGGTAATTGCTATCTTCATCCTCTGATTCCCATTAAGACATTCACCACATTAATCCTATTTTCAGTTGCTACTTTTTATTAACAGTCGATTCAAGCACAGGGTTAGCTTGGTTCGTGTTTAACGCCGCTCTCAGCAATATTCCAGCTATATTTCGGCGATCTGTAAATAATCGAATATTGACCAGACAATCCAGTGATTGATATGTAGCGCATCCACCTACGCTAAAAGCAAACGAGTCTGACCACCTGATCCCACAGTTGCCTCTTACGACAAGCATCTGTTGCTGAAGACCAATTCTAACCCGGATCTTCACGGGTAATCTTAAGACGTTCTGAAGAATACATACTGTACTGATGGTAGTATTAATACTACTAGCCTTTGTGTTGAAAGATGAACTGTTTCGCGAACAAAGGAATGTACAGTACCAGATGAAAAGAGATTATTGGCTCATTGGACTATAACTGTACCTGTTTTGATTGCATCTGGACGGGTGGTAACCCAGTCGGGAATCATGAACCCAACAAAGAGAGAAGTGCCAATGATGACAACGTTCCGAGTGGATGACAGATCTACAACCTGTAGGTTGGAGAGAATGAAACCCACGAGTGGCCCATACAGAATGAGCATAGAGCCCCCCAGCACAGAGTAGGGAATGGTGACAAAGACGGCCCCCAGTTTGGTGAAGATGCTCAGAAGAATGAAGATTACTCCTGTCAGTTGTAGAACGCGACGGCTGGACACCTAAGGTGGTAGAACAACAATATTAAGACAGTTTCATGTATTGAAAGGACTTGAAGCCTAAAATTTGTGATTCACGCAATGATATAGTAACTTGAAATTTTCTCAATACAAAAATACTCCCATTGATAAAACGTGTATGCACTGTTTCGAAAAAAATATTATTATTATATCATACATTTATACAATGAATCTATCCAGGAACTAGTATCTGCTCAAATGCGGTTTTATTTCTACCCCGACCAGTGGATCCGTTTGCATTCCATTTGATAAACTAAATAAGCTGAGCATAGTGATGATTTGAGTTTAGATATGATTTCTTAGTAGGCAATCAACCCTATTGAACGTGATTTTCTTTTTGTACGTTGCTTGTCGCAACTATAATGTGCATTGTAACATTACCGGTGTGTCATAGTTGTAAAGTGCATTGTAACATTACCTGTGTGTCATAGCTATAAAGCGCATTATCATACCCCATGTCAGAATGATGAGATGTGATTGGTCCATGTGATCTTGATGAAATACTATGTAACCCGCCCTGGCGGAAAATACATTTCTCAGCGGGGAAATAAATCTCTTATACCCCGCCACAAGCAATACAGTCTGCACGTGGATTTCTGAGAGGCAGAATAAATCCCTTATCCTTGTTCCGAGACAGAAGAAGTCACGTGACATAGCACAAGTTAACCTCAGCTCAATCGAACAGCTGTTTTCTATCAATTTTGAATTGTGGTAATTCTTTTACAGTGTCATATTAAAACATGTCGGTAAGATAAATTCGTTGTAGTATGATCACTCGGGGTACATGGAGTTTTATGCGTCCTTCGTCAGGTTTTATAAGTGCATTGTAACATTTGCGTGTCTCAGCCGTTCTCTTGTATATATTATGTCACCTGAACACACTTGAGAAGGAATGCGTGCTGTTTGTTCAAAAACGGGTAAAATACCTTTGTCAGTCCGATCATGGAAATGTTGTAGCCATAGGAAGATGTGCCATGACCTATTCCAAGACCTCCTGCGAGGATCACCATAGCACCTTCCACAGAGATGCCTCTGTTGACTGCGTGAGCAGGCGGTGGTGGAAGGTAGGCAGTACGTGCGCATGCGCTGTAGTCGCCGATTGAGTCAATAATCGACAGGAAAGTTGACATCATGAAACTTGTGAATGCAAATGCGTTGAATTGAGGCATTCCAAATTGACCTGAATGTACACAATGTGATTGATAAAGCATATCCTGTGTACATCCATACATGGACTGCCAACGTGCAGGTGTTAAATAGAATTTTCTTACGGTGAGTTTTTAGGCAGTCAGTGAACTATTGTTATTGCAATTATTGCAAAGCCATAACACGTGAAGATTATTGTTCAAAATAATAATTATGAGCATATGGATCTTAATGGCTCGCATAGATTTGTTCACAAGAATTGAAAAAGTTGAGTGATATTGTTTTTCCATGTCACTCTATCGTTAGAGTAGAGTGACATCGATGGTAACTAATTTTATTTCAGTCTGTCTGCGATGTATTGGCATCGGGCCATGAACAATCGCAATGCATCAACAGATCGATCAATAATTACGCTTCGAATCAAAGAAGTGATTATCATAGTTAATTGTTCATCAGAAGCCTAAAACACAATTTGATCTTGATATTAAAAACAAATCTGACTCAACGAGTTACGACACCGTGCAAAAAAAGTCATGGATAATCTTTTTCAATTTTTTTTTTTTTTTTTGGGGGGGGGGGGGGGGAACTTTATGAAATTTGGTGCTCTTACTTCACTACCAAAATATATTCCCCAACATGGCCATCATCCCACCCCAACTGTTTTTTCAATATATTTGCCTGGGTAAGGGAAGGAAAACCAGCTGCTGTCACTGATGACGTGTGTCCGTGAGTCTGTACGGGCGTAGTACTGGATGTTCTTAGGGTCCGGAGACAGAGAACCAGTCACAGTCAAGATGGCTGACAGAGCCCAACCCACAACCATAGATATCATCACCTACACAGCGAAGAAATGGTATGTCAAGCAGCGTGCTGTATAAAGGGTCAGTATTATTCATATCATGTGAATACAGTACAACCAGTGATGCCACCTTACCACATTAGAAAATGTGGCATTATAACCAGGTTGGTTTGGTTGGTTGGTTTGTTTTACGCCGCACTCAGCAATATTCCAGCTATATGACGGCGGTAAATAATCGAGACTGGACCAGACAATCCAGTGATTGTTAACATGAGCATCGATCCACACAATTGGGATCGATGACATGCTTCAACCAAGTCAGCAAGACTGACCACCCGACCCCGTTAGTAGCCTCTTACGACAAGCATAGTCGCCTTTGCGGCAAGCATGGGTTGCTGAAGACCAATTTCACCCCGGATTTTCCCGGGCCCATTATAACCAGGTAGGTGAATGATTGATTGATATTATAATAAAAGCGACAAAACCCTTTTCATGTGTGTTAGAAATATCTGCCAAAAAAACAGTCGACTTCACGATTCCGACTATATCATGAGCAGGTTTTTGTGTGTTGGTATCAAAACCAGATTGGTATTATCAAAAGGTAATTTTGGTCCTAGAAACAATGGTATTATAACCAGGTTGTACGGTATGTGAATGTCCTTACTGCAAATGTTTTGTGATTGCCAGTCCATGACAAGTGAAAGCCCTTCTGTCGGCTCCAGGCCGGGAATGGAGTGGAAATATTTGACATGCTGGTCGACAGAATGAAGGCAATGGCAGCAGTTCTGGAAGAAGATCAGCATATAATGTTTCACAAATCTTGACAGCACAAAGTGTCAGAACAGTGTCAATTTTACTTTCATCATCTCCGTGGATATTCAGAGGCAGAAGTTTTCAACCACGGAAACAATAAAAAGGCGACGGGTTTCAATTCAATATTTTTTTCTGTAACAGGCGGAACAAAACTAAGTGTTTGTGACCCACAAAACATTACGTTTCAGAACATCCAGCATGTCATGTGAACGATTAATGTTTTATCTTAAATCTGTGGACAAAGCCCTCTACAGCATGACTTCTTCACATCCCAACCCTCTTGACAAGTAATGGTCAGGCCCTTACTTTGACGGTTACGGACCCGTGACGATCAGGGGTGGAATTGGTCTTCAGCAACCCATGCTTGTCGTAAAAGGCGACTATGCTTGTCGTAAGAGGCGACTATGCTTGTCGTAAAAAGGCGACTATGCTTGTCGTAAAAGGCGACTAACGGAAGCGGGTGGTAAATAGGCTCTCTGACTTGGTTGATGCATGTCATATCCCAGTTGCGTGGATCAATGCTCATGATGTCAATCACTGTATTGTCTGGCCCAGACTCGATTATTTACAGACCGCCGCCATATAGCTGGGATGCTTCTGAGAACTGCGTTAAACAAGAAACATGTCTGAAGTATCTTGACTTACACAACAGCAATTCCCCAGTGAGTTTCCGAGAACTTCGAGGCGACTTTTGACAGGAAGAGCCCAGCCAATGTTATTGCAGGAACGACGGTCACGGGACCAATGAAACGTAGCAATAAACCAACCAATCCTGTAGCTCCTATCAAAGTGTGTATGACTCCAGCGAGCATAAGACTTCCCATCAACTGCAAAAGAGAGTGTCAAAGCTTCTTTCTGTATTACATATACTTCTAATTTGAGTAATATTTACCATTCCACGTTTTGATTTAACTGGAAACCTGAAAACTTCAGTCCAGTTTATACTTTGAAAATGAAATATGATCATGTTATAAAATGACATAAAAACTCAGCTATCAACTGCATATTAAGAATTGTAATTAATAGAAATCTTTGAACACTCTGCTACATTATATGTACAACAAACAGCGACATATCAGTGTTGAGTGCCATACACACATTCACTACCACATTATGGGGCCGCACGGGTGCCCCATTCGTCTGACGCGCCGCAATTCGCTGCGAAGAGTTGCGTCCCTTGGGCACACCAGAAACCTATGATTGTTTGTAACAATCCCGGTTCGGCCCGATCATGTTTCTAAGGTTGTTAGCACCGGTTTCGCCCAAGCGGTAAGTAAACGTCTGACACCAGCATCACTTCGGTCTTTTCTCCCACATGAAGCTGACACAACGTAATATATTTAAAATCCTGTTAAAAGTTTCGCGACAACCTGGTATCATCACTATTTGATATTGATTAATACACACATGATCGTGATTAATCGGAATCGTAGTCGACTCTGCCTTTAGCAGAGATTTTTTTATGAATATGGAAAGGTTTTGTCGCTTTTATTAATATTAAACATGTTGAAATGAGAGAGGAAATATGAATATTTTCTTTATTATTGTTTGCTGTATAAAGCTTAACTATTAAAACCATAAATTATTTAAAACATAACATAATATATTGGAAATACTATGGAAATGTGGAACAATATAACTATTTATCCTCGGACGACCTTATTACAATAACTAATACAATATCATTATTATTTCAATGCCAGTAAAATCGAACATGTAAATATTCATTTTACAAATGGCGATCAGGATACTATCCTTTTTAAAATTATTCTTTCGTAACCATCATATTTTTTTCAACTATTGTTAGATGTTCATTTAAAGCGACTGATCACCTGTTGTATTTTATTATCGATGAACTCATCCGGCACAGGCAGCAGCCCGCGAGTGTTGAGGGACACATTCACTGTTGTGTTTTCATACAACTCTGCTGGAAATCAGAAATGGAATGTAAATCAAATATTGGAAAAATATTTATATGAACATGAAATATATTTCAGTAATTGCGTAGCACGTATTATTCTGTGAATATTCATAATGGCATGAACTTTCATTTATATGAAGCCAAAAATATGCTTATCTGGACAGAAGCAAGAGGACAATTACTTAAAATATGAAAAAAGTTACCTTTCACGTTCAATGTAAAAGAATATTTGGTGGCTGGGAATGTCATTTATGACTAATATGAAGGGATTCAGAATACATTACATGAACTCTTAGAGACTGAAATGTAGGTACTTCTCAAAATTAAACTTCTCATTATCTCTATTGATTATGCCTACCAAGTGATTCCTGGGTTGGACACTTCCACTCTGCAAAGGATGTCATGGTAAGCAACGGTATCAAGTAGTAGGTATCCGGGCCTTGGAACACTGGGAGTCTGCAGTATACATGTATGTCATGGAATCACGTTTTGTTCGACGAAGAGGACAGTTAACTTGTAAATCAGAAGTATATATGAAGGGGAACACATTTCCATTCCTTTCTTAATAATATGAAGGAAGATATTGCCATTCCTCTCATGAGTACAAATGAAGCAAGATATTTCCATTCCTCCCATGAGTACAAATGAAGGAGGATATTTCCATTCCTTTCATGAGTACAAATGACGGAAGATATTTCCATTCCTCTCATAACAAATGACGGAAGATATTTCCATCCCTCTCATGAGTACAAATGAAGGAAGATATTTCCATTCCTCTCATAACAAATGACGGAAGATATTGCCATTCCTCCCATGAGTACAAATGAAGGAAGATATTTCCATTCCTCTCATAACAAATGAAGGAAGATATTTCCATTCCTCTCATAACAAATGACGGAAGATATTTCCATTCCTCTCATAACAAATGACGGAAGATATTTCCATTCCTCTCATAACAAATGACGGAAGATATTGCCATTCCTCTCATAACAAATGACGGAAGATATTGCCATTCCTCTCATAACAAATAAAGGAAGATATTTCCATTCCTCTCATGAGTACAAATGAAGGAAGATATTGCCATTCCTCCCATGAGTACAAATGACGGAAGATATTGCCATTCCTTTCATGAGTACAAATGACGGAAGATATTTCAATTCCTCTCATGAGTACAAATGAAGGAAGATATTGCCATTCCTCCCATGAGTACAAATGACGGAAGATATTTCCATTCCTCTCATGAGTACAAATGAAGGAAGATATTGCCATTCCTCCCATGAGTACAAATGACGGAAGATATTGCCATTCCTTTCATGAGTACAAATGACGGAAGATATTGCCATTCCTCTCATGAGTACAAATGAAGGAAGATATTGCCATTCCTCCCATGAGTACAAATGAAGGAAGATATTGCCATTCCTCCCATGAGTACAAATGACGGAAGATATTGCCATTCCTTTCATGAGTACAAATGAAGGAAGATATTGCCATTCCTTTCATGAGTACAAATGAAGAAAGATATTGCCATCCCTCTCATACGTACAAATGACGGAAGATATTGCCATTCCTTTCATGAGTACAAATGAAGAAAGATATTGCCATCCCTCTCATACGTACAAATGAAGGAAGATATTTCCATTCCTCCCATGAGTACAAATGACGGAAGATATTTCCATTCCTTTCATGAGTACAAATGAAGAAAGATATTGCCATCCCTCTCATAAGTACAAATGACGGAAGATATTTCCATCCCTCTCATGAGTACAAATGAAGGAAGATATTTCCATTCCTCTCATAACAAATAAAGGAAGATATTGCCATTCCTCTCATGAGTACAAATGAAGGAAGATATTGCCATTCCTCCCATGAGTACAAATGACGGAAGATATTGCCATTCCTTTCATGAGTACAAATGACGGAAGATATTTCAATTCCTCTCATGAGTACAAATGAAGGAAGATATTGCCATTCCTCCCATGAGTACAAATGACGGAAGATATTTCCATTCCTCTCATGAGTACAAATGAAGGAAGATATTGCCATTCCTCCCATGAGTACAAATGACGGAAGATATTGCCATTCCTTTCATGAGTACAAATGACGGAAGATATTGCCATTCCTCTCATGAGTACAAATGAAGGAAGATATTGCCATTCCTCCCATGAGTACAAATGAAGGAAGATATTGCCATTCCTTTCATGAGTACAAATGACGGAAGATATTGCCATTCCTCTCATGAGGACAAATGAAGGAAGATATTGCCATTCCTCCCATGAGTACAAATGACGGAAGATATTGCCATTCCTTTCATGAGTACAAATGACGGAAGATATTTCCATTCCTTTCATGAGTACAAATGAAGAAAGATATTGCCATCCCTCTCATACGTACAAATGACGGAAGATATTGCCATTCCTTTCATGAGTACAAATGAAGAAAGATATTGCCATCCCTCTCATACGTACAAATGAAGGAAGATATTGCCATTCCTCCCATGAGTACAAATGAAGGAAGATATTTCCATTCCTTTCATGAGTACAAATGAAGAAAGATATTTCCATTCCTTTCATGAGTACAAATGACGGAAGATATTGCCATTCCTGTCATGAGTACAAATGACGGAAGATATTGCCATTCCTCTCATGAGTACAAATGACGGAAGATATTGCCATTCCTCCCGTGAGTACAAATGAAGAAAGATATTGCCATCCCTTTCATGAGTACAAATGAAGGAAGATATTGCCATTCCTCTCATGAGTACAAATGACGGACGATATTTCCATTCCTCCCATGAGTACAAATGACGGAAGATATTGCCATTCCTTTCATGAGTACAAATGACGGAAGATATTTCAATTCCTCTCATGAGTACAAATGAAGGAAGATATTGCCATTCCTCCCATGAGTACAAATGACGGAAGATATTTCCATTCCTCTCATGAGTACAAATGAAGGAAGATATTGCCATTCCTCCCATGAGTACAAATGACGGAAGATATTGCCATTCCTCTCATGAGTACAAATGAAGGAAGATATTGCCATTCCTCCCATGAGTACAAATGAAGGAAGATATTGCCATTCCTCCCATGAGTACAAATGACGGAAGATATTGCCATTCCTTTCATGAGTACAAATGAAGGAAGATATTGCCATTCCTTTCATGAGGACAAATGAAGAAAGATATTGCCATCCCTCTCATACGTACAAATGACGGAAGATATTGCCATTCCTTTCATGAGTACAAATGAAGAAAGATATTGCCATCCCTCTCATACGTACAAATGAAGGAAGATATTTCCATTCCTCCCATGAGTACAAATGACGGAAGATATTGCCATTCCTTTCATGAGTACAAATGAAGAAAGATATTGCCATCCCTCTCATAAGTACAAATGACGGAAGATATTTCCATCCCTCTCATGAGTACAAATGAAGGAAGATATTTCCATTCCTCTCATAACAAATAAAGGAAGATATTGCCATTCCTCTCATGAGTACAAATGAAGGAAGATATTGCCATTCCTCCCATGAGTACAAATGACGGAAGATATTGCCATTCCTTTCATGAGTACAAATGACGGAAGATATTTCAATTCCTCTCATGAGTACAAATGAAGGAAGATATTGCCATTCCTCCCATGAGTACAAATGACGGAAGATATTTCCATTCCTCTCATGAGTACAAATGAAGGAAGATATTGCCATTCCTCCCATGAGTACAAATGACGGAAGATATTGCCATTCCTCCCATGAGTACAAATGAAGGAAGATATTGCCATTCCTTTCATGAGTACAAATGACGGAAGATATTGCCATTCCTCTCATGAGTACAAATGAAGGAAGATATTGCCATTCCTCCCATGAGTACAAATGACGGAAGATATTGCCATTCCTTTCATGAGTACAAATGACGGAAGATATTTCCATTCCTTTCATGAGTACAAATGAAGAAAGATATTGCCATCCCTCTCATACGTACAAATGACGGAAGATATTGCCATTCCTTTCATGAGTACAAATGAAGAAAGATATTGCCATCCCTCTCATACGTACAAATGAAGGAAGATATTGCCATTCCTCCCATGAGTACAAATGAAGGAAGATATTTCCATTCCTTTCATGAGTACAAATGAAGAAAGATATTTCCATTCCTTTCATGAGTACAAATGACGGAAGATATTGCCATTCCTTTCATGAGTACAAATGACGGAAGATATTGCCATTCCTCTCATGAGTACAAATGACGGAAGATATTGCCATTCCTCCCGTGAGTACAAATGAAGAAAGATATTGCCATCCCTTTCATGAGTACAAATGAAGGAAGATATTGCCATTCCTCCCATGAGTACAAATGACGGACGATATTTCCATTCCTCTCATGAGTACAAATGACGGAAGATATTGCCATTCCTCCCATGAGTACAAATGACGGAAGATATTGCCATTCCTCTCATACGTTCAAATGAAGGAAGATATTGCCATCCCTCTCATACGTTCAAATGACGGAAGATATTGCCATCCCTCTCATACGTACAAATGACGGAAGATATTGCCATTCCTCCCATGAGTACAAATGACGGAAGATATTACCATTCCTCTCATGAGTACAAATGAAGGAAGATATTGCCATTCCTCCCATGAGTACAAATGACGGAAGATATTGCCATTCCTTTCATGAGTACAAATGACTGAAGATATTGCCATTCCTCTCATCAGTACAAATGAAGGAAGATATTGCCATTCCTCCCATGAGTACAAATGAAGGAAGATATTGCCATTCCTCCCATGAGTACAAATGACGGAAGATATTGCCATTCCTTTCATGAGTACAAATGAAGGAAGATATTGCCATTCCTTCAATGAGTACAAATGAAGAAAGATATTGCCATCCCTCTCATACGTACAAATGACGGAAGATATTTCCATTCCTTTCATGAGTACAAATGAAGAAAGATATTTCCATTCCTTTCATGAGTACAAATGACGGAAGATATTGCCATTCCTCCCATGAGTACAAATGACGGAAGATATTGCCATTCCTCTCATGAGTACAAATGACGGTAGATATTGCCATTCCTCTCATAAGTACAAATGAAGGAAGATATTGCCATCCCTCTCATACGTACAAATAAAGGAAGATATTGCCATTCCTCTCATGAGTACAAATGAAGAAAGATATTGCCATCCCTCTCATACGTACAAATAAAGGAAGATATTGCCATTCCTCCCATGAGTACAAATGACGGAAGATATTGCCATTCCTCTCATGAGTACAAATGAAGGAAGATATTGCCATTCCTCCCATGAGTACAAATGAAGGAAGATATTGCCATTCCTCCCATGAGTACAAATGACGGAAGATATTGCCATTCCTCTCATGAGTACAAATGACGGAAGATATTTCCATTCCTTTCATGAGTACAAATGACGGAAGATATTTCCATTCCTTTCATGAGTACAAATGAAGAAAGATATTTCCATTCCTTTCATGAGTACAAATGACGGAAGATATTGCCATTCCTCCCATGAGTACAAATGACGGAAGATATTGCCATTCCTCTCATGAGTACAAATGACGGAAGATATTTCCATTCCTTTCATGAGTACAAATGACGGAAGATATTTCCTTTCATGAGTACAAATGAAGAAAGATATTTCCATTCCTTTCATGAGTACAAATGACGGAAGATATTGCCATTCCTCCCATGAGTACAAATGACGGAAGATATTGCCATTCCTCTCATAAGTACAAATGACGGAAGATATTGCCATTCCTCTCATAAGTACAAATGAAGGAAGATATTGCCATCCCTCTCATACGTACAAATAAAGGAAGATATTGCCATTCCTCTCATGAGTACAAATGAAGGAAGATATTGCCATCCCTCTCATACGTACAAATAAAGGAAGATATTGCCATTCCTCCCATGAGTACAAATGACGGAAGATATTGCCATTCCTCTCATGAGTACAAATGACGGAAGATATTTCCATTTCTCCCATGAGTACAAATGACGGAAGATATTGCCATTCCTCCCATGAGTACAAATGACGGAAGATATTGCCATTCCTCTCATGAGTACAAAAGAAGGAAGATATTTCCATTCCTTTCATGAGTACAAATGAAGAAAGATATTGCCATCCCTCTCATACGTACAAGTTTTGCAGTATAGATACTATGATTTGGCTGTTGACAACGAACACGTGGATCGTTGCCTATGTTTTTTATTTACAGGTTTTGTCTGGTCTACACTAGGTTATTCACACATCGACGTGATGGTGCAGAGTATTTTATACAACGGCGTTCAATTACATTATACCATGAAGTTTGAAAATGATTCTGTTCTAATTTGTCAATCAGAGGTTTAAAAATACAATACCAACAACTGAATGAAACAAAAGGTTTGACAACTTAATCACAGATGCAGCATGTGTATAACAGTATGTGTGGCAATATATTTTACAGGAGAGAAGGAAAGATAGTTTTGTTATTTGGAGGGACAGCAGACAGCTTGAACTCTACATCCATCTAATCCACATCTATTGAGTGAGTATGTCCCTCTCTTGTTTGTTTTGTTGTTCAACGCCGCACTCAGCTATTTTCAGGCTCTCTGACGGCGGTCTGTAAAATAATCGAGTCTAGACAAGACAATCCAGTGATTAATATCATGAGCATCGATCCACGAAATTGAGATACGATGACATGCATATTCTACCCCGGATCTTCACGGGTTCCCTCTTTTGACTTTTGCCATATGTTCCTGTGTTTTTTCAGGTAAACAGCTGACTTGCATTTGCATGTGTTGCACGAGTGCCTCGGTGAGGCAGGATACGCTCACCATTTCGCGAATACCTGGTATCATCACTTATTTGATAGTGATTCATAAACAAATGCTCGTGATGCAGTCGGCATCGTACAATAGAGATTTCTTTAGGAGTGAGTGAGTTGGGTTTTGTCCTCTGTATACTGTTTGACATAAATCACTTCTAGCTTATACCATACAAGACCAGTCCAGTGAATGAGTGAGTGAGTTAGGTTTAGCGCCGCTTTAAACAATATTCCAGTTATATCGCGGCGTGTCAGCTTAATGTGGGAGGAAAGCCCGAAGTGATGCAGGTCTCAGACGTTTACCACTTCGGTGAAACCCACGAGCACGGGTATGGTGCTGACAAACCTAGAAACATAATCGGGGCGAACCGGGATTCGAACCCAGAATCATAGGTTTCTGGCGTACCCAAGGGACGCAACTCTGCACAGCGAATCGCGGCTCCTGAGACGACTGGGCCACCCGTGCCCCAGATTTCTTTAGGCTATGAAGGGGTTTTGTCGTTTGTATTCAATGTAGATCTGAGTGGAATTTAGATCTGAAGCCTGTACATTATATGTGGACACGAATACACCCTCAATACACTTATCAGAAATCGTAGATGTTAACGTTACACTGAGAAATACTTATAGTAGATATAGTTGCGCGGTGAACAATTGATGACAACGAACCTGATACCGAAGGTCGACATGAGGAATGTTGTCAGGCCAGTCACAAACATTGTAGAAGACAGAACCTTGGTTTTAAGGAGCTCGTTGTCTCCGGCGCACATGCATTCAGCGAAGACGAGAGTCACGGAGAGACACCTTGAAATACTGACCAATACTTGCTGAGAAGGACAAAACCACATTATCGAGATAAGACTTAAACGACTTGGACAATTTACATAAGTAAACATATAACCATGAATAACGAACTTTTGAGCACGGGTTGAACAAGGAATTTGGAATAATGGTTTGCTTTTATCTCTTGTTGGTCTGTTGGTTTGTTGTTTAACGCCACTAAACAATATTCCAGCTATATGACGGCGGTGTGTAAATAATCGAGTCTGGACCAGACAATCCAGTGATTGATATCATGAGCATCGATCCACACAACTGGGACCAATGACATGCATCAACCAAGTCAGCGAGCCTGACCACCCGATCCCGTTAGTCGCCTCTAACGACAAGCATAGTCGCCTTTTACGGCAAGCATGGGTTGCTGAAGACCTATTCTACCCCGGATCTTCACGGGCCAATGGACTTCAGTTCAGAAATAATGAGTGAGTGAGTATGGTTTTACGCCGCTTTTAGCAATATTCCAGCAATATCACGGCGGGGGACACCAGAAATGGGCTTCACACATTGTACCCATGTCGGGAATCGAACCCGGGTCTTCGGCGTGACGAGCGAACGCTTTAACCACTAGGCTACCCGACCGCCCCTCAGAAATAATGAAACCGAGTCATAATTACGTTTCCTCAATCCATTTGAACGACATGCTAATAACTGAATGTTTAGAGACTTTAGTATTTCAGTGATTACGCTTTACCTGCATTGCGAGGCCGAAGGTGACATGGGCTGGGGGGATATCACTGAGACTGTAGATCATCTTTGGTGTCTCAGTCGTTACATGTAAATCCACTCGTTTGGTATTTTCATTATCCTCCGTTGCCAGATCTGCGTCAGGGCCATCCATGTCATTTTGATGTGTCTTATACACCGTTGTTGCTAACATTGTGTTGTTTTCCCCAGACAATTCAATGTCCGCCATGTTTCTCTTGGAAAACAGTGAATACATGAGTTACTGAATTTAACGCATCTGTCATGTAACGAATAAAAACATATGAGAAAGGTAAACACCACTTATCGGCACATGTACCGCTACAAAGTGTCAGTGAGCTGACTCACATCGCTTCGTTACTGTGTATATCCCCTTTCAGCAACAGTTGTATTGGGGTGGGACCGTCTTTGATCTGATAGAACCGGGGTCAGCAGACATCAACTTTCAAAGCTCCCGTAAAACCTCAGTTTAAAGCAAAGTCCATTGTTTGATTCCGACTTTAACATATGCATATGTGTATTCATTACACAAGTTTTATCACAAGATATACATGTACATGTCAAGATTAATTGCATACATTTGCGTTGTGTCGTTGATCCTATCGACAACTGGTTTAATATGTCAAACATTGCACAAAATACTTCAGCTTCAGTAGAAAGGGAGTGAATATTCGCTGCAGAAACTTGGGGTAATACATTTAGGCAAGAAGAAGGCATCCCCATGGGCGCCAATTGTTCTCCCCTTCTTGCTGATCCGTTTCTTTATGCGAATGAATCAGAATTTCTGCTCGGATTGGCAAAATCAAAACTAGGTAATTTGGTGAAGACATTTATCTTCAGTTTCAGGTCTATCGATGATCTGATATCGTTCAATAACCACCAAGCAGCCAATTCTCTTGCACTTCTCCCAAGATTTCAAAGAGCGTCGTGCAACTCTTGCTCAGAAGTTGTATGACCAAGGTTGCAACATTCAACATTCAGAAAAGCTTTCAAAACGTTTCATAGTAGACATGTGGAGGACTGTCCAAATTTGACTCACCAGTGACAAAAATGATGTCCGATGCAATTGCCTACTTTGACTTTTTCCATAATTAACATGTTTCTTTTTCAGGTGAACAGTTGACTTGCCTTTGCATGTCTTTGTGGTAGGTACCACCAGTGGGACAGGATACAATCTGCTTTTCGGAAACACCGGGAAAGATCACTTTTTGATGGTAATTCATAAATAATTGCTCCTTGTGTAGTCGAAATCGTACAATCGACCTTGCTTTCAGCAAAGATTTGTTAAAAATACGGAAAGGGTTTTGTCACTTTATTCATTTGTAATTAACATTCGCATAGAACAGTATATGTAGACTGTGTCCAAGAAATAGTATTGGAATTACAAATAGCAAAACAAAATCGTTGTTTTCATGGTGGACACGTGAGGCAAACATTCTTTACGATATTACTTTGTACATGTATATACAGTAAACTACGGTTATAACGAACTCAAAGGGACAACTAATTTTAGTTCGTTGTAGCCGTAGTTCGTTATATGCATATATACAGCATAACTACAGCAAATAGTCGGGACAAAAAAGTAAGTTCGTTATATCCGTCAGTTCGTTATAAGCGTGTTCGTTATAAACGTAGTTTACTGTATATTTAATATACCATGCGGGCGTCAAACATACACTGCACTTTTAACCCTGGCCACGAGCAGTGACAGACGGAAGGACGGACAAACAAACTGAAGGAGTCGGTTTGTATATGATGAGCTTATTTCGTACAACACGCATACCCCAAACGTAAGTTAATATCACTTAAGGGGGCACGGGTGGCCCAGTCGTCTAAGGCGCCACGATTCGCTGTGCAGAGTCGCTTCCCTTGGCCACGCCAGAAACCTATGATTGTGGGTTCGAATCACGGTTCGCCCCGATTATGTTTCTAGGTTTGTCAGCACAATACCCGTGCTCGTGGGTTTCACCGAAGTGGTAAACGTCTGAGATCTGCATCACTTCGGGCTTTCCTCCCACATTAAGCTGACACGCCGCGATATAACTGGAATAGTGTTAAAAGCGGCGTTAAACCCAACTCACTCACTCACTCACTAATATCACTTAACATTTGCGTGTAACCAAACTAGTAGATTATTACTTACCTTGGAATCGTTATGAATATTTGATCGGACAAGCAGATGTCCATGGGTTGACAATCCCATGTCGGGAAGGTCATATATATAGATACTATGTACTGCTCGGTACAGTTGTTACACGTTTCATCCCCTGATAAGTTCATCGTTTGCTTTAGCTATTAATAATATGTGTTATTTATTCGTAGAACTATTGTTGTCAAGACAATTGGTGTGTCATATTGAAACGGAAAGCTTTATTGTGGGTTTTCACGTTCTCAATATTTAGTGTTTGAATACCAGGCACTATCGGGTTTTCACTTTAATGAAGAGCATGTTCACAAATTATGAATGTTACGGTAGAATAGTTACGAATAAACTGAGGAACAAATGAAACTATTATACCTCTCTGTTGATGTTTCACATGTTGAACATATATTAAGCTGGTGATAAAATATGAAAAATGAACTATTCTGGCTCTTTGTCAGAATATTTCAACATGGTTTTATTTTTTTAATATACAGTAAACTACGGTTATAACGAACTCAAAGGGACTACTAATTTTAGTTCGTTATAACCGTAGTTCGTTATAAGTACATATACAGCATGACTACAGCAAGTAGTCGGGACCAAAAAGTAAGTTCGTTATATCCGTCAGTTCGTTATAAGCGTGTTCGTTATAACCGTAGTTTACTGTAATTTGATTTGAAACATTTGAAAAAATAAAAAATAATATGCTGATGGGTATCTTAGACCTCTTATCTTTGAAAATAAAAAAATGTTTCCTTTTCGGCTCACATTTATATTTGAAGCATTGCAGGTTGCAAATTCCCCTGTCTTCATTGAACCCATTTAACTTTACACAAAATTCCCCTAAAACAGATTACTTTTGAAAAACTGTTGTAGGAATGAGTGATGGTTACAAAGACATAATCAAATTGATAATGATAGAAAAACTATTAGTCACACGGCAACAATACATTTATGAACACAGTGCAATGTCATTTTATCCCAACTGCGTGGATCGATGTTCATGATGTCAATCACTGGATTGTCTGGTTCAGACTCGATTATTTACAGACCATCGTCATGTAGAACATATACTAAGCTGGTGATAAAATATGAAAAATGAACTATGCTGAGTGCGGCGTTAAACAACAAACAAACAAACAAACAAACTGTTTCCCTCGGGTACAATGGAATGTAACTACCAGAACAGAAATAACATTTCTTGAAATATTTTCCGATCATAGGATTCGAACCTGTAATACCACGTGACATTTCGTTACTGATTCCCAGCTAGGTGTCAATTCGACCACACAAGGAGACAAGTCATTCAAGTGTTACTTCCTACTCGACTTATATCATATTTTCACATTTTTTTATATGTCGATATCTAATCTCGGCGACACACCCCTTGTCCGTTACACGTGGGATTTAAGACGCAAGAAACTCCATACTTTCTATCTCAAACATAAACCAGGAAGATCTGATTATATTTGAATACGTCATTTGATATAGTCAAAATCGTAAACTGCACTCTGCAGAGATTTCTCAAGGAGGGAGATAGAGGTGTGGTGAATGGGGTTTTACGTCGCGTCCAAGATTATTGCACTTATATAGCGACGTGCATGTACGTGTGTGTGTTTGTGTGGCTGCTTGTACCAGTCCGGACTGATGCCGATTTATAGTGCTAGCTCACTGAGACACCATGCCGCAGTTTAACATGAATACCTCACTCAGACACAGTATACTGACTCCGAGCCGACCAGTCCTTGTTTTAGCCCCTTAATGCCGAGCGCCAGACAGGGTAACAACAAGTACCATCTTTTAACAACTTTTGGTATGTCGCGGTCAGAGAGAGAGAGAGAGAGAGAGAGAGAGAGAGAGAGAGAGAGAGAGAGAGAGAGAGAGAGAGAGAGAGCTTATTTATGTGTCACGCGGTTACCTCGGCTGTGTATACACAACATATGGGCATATAATTTACAAGTAACGCCAAGCCATAAGGCTTATGAGACACAGTATAACAAAAAATGCATGTGTGTATAAAACATAAGAAGAATACTGTTCGTATCCTGTACAAAACATTATTATACATGGTAATATTCTGTCTGGAAAGGGTTTAGTTGCTTTTATTTATTTGAATCTGTAGTCCAACACGGAAGTAGTAAGCTAACACGATCCAAACCCGGGGACGTTGTGAAGTGATTAAGACGTAGGTGTCAGGGTAGGTGTTATATTTTACTGACTCACAACGAGGTGAGCCGTGCAACTTACAACATCATATCACGTGGCCACTATACGTGAATAGAAAATTGTCAACGATTCAATTACTGATTTACATCCCGGTAGCTACATTGATCTAATTTAGCTCAACGAGTCTGTCCAGACACCACACACATTTATATCCCGTTAATGTACTGTCACGTGTCATCGTTCCTAATTAAAGTGCAGCAGATTCCCGCTTGGCACGAATCACACAGACCTTTAGATGTATTGTCTGTATTTGTGATATATATAGTGTGATATAAATTATGTTGTTACGTGTCGATTCCCAAACTGAAACAATATGTTAACCCAGAAATATGTACGTAAAAGAACCTAGTGTGAAACCAACAAACAACCAACAAATTATATACAATTAAGAAATGTATTACAAAACTTAACTAGATTTACAAATCAATACAAATCACTTCACATGCAGTAATTGCAATGGCAGTCAATATCAAATACAAACACACAGTGGTGGCAGCAAAAGTCAGTGATAAAAAATAATACATATTCACCCAGCGGCGACAGAAGTCAAGCTCCCGAGATGGGTTAGACAGGGAATCGGGGATGATGAGCGATCCTCACGTGAAAGCTGGTTCCATATTCATGAAATGCGTGTAAGAGATGCCTAAACACGCTTTTGTCTCCTTATATAGTCTTACCAGCTCCTGTAAATCTTTATACAGTACCCTCACCAGTCTAGCAGCACTAGAACATTACAGAACTTTACATAACATTTTACACCGTCCGTGATATATAGCACCGGAAGTTTACACTTAGCCGCTAAATATAGTAATTTCCTGGCGGCTGATTCACTGCAATAAAACAATAAAATACACTGCCATATAACAATGTGCATCATGTAATCAAAAGGTTTGTTTGTTTGTTGTTTAACGGCGCATTCAGCAATAATCTATATATGTGACAGCGAGCTTACGTAATAGTGTCTGGGCCAGACAATCTAGTGATTGACATCATGAGCATCTATCTACTCAATTTGGATACGATGACATGTATCAATGTTGTCCACCATATCCCGCTAGTCGCATCTAACGACAAGAATGGGTGCTGAAGACAAATTATTTAAAGGGTAATCTCTCTCCATGACGAGAGCATCCAGCTCTCCCTTATAATATTCGTGTTTCGTATATTTGTCAAACATCACTCGCGAATATACACATATACACTATACTTCTGTTCTGTTGTTTTACACACCGTTGAGCAATATTTTACACTTCCACCTCTGTTGAGTATCAGACGTGAAGACCGCCTCCGTGGTCTAGTGGTAGAGCGTTCGCCTGGAGAGCGGAAGGTCCGGGGTTCGATCCCCGGCCGCGTCATACCAAAAGACATTAAAAGGTGGTTGTTGTTACCCTGTCTGGCGCTCGGCATTAAGGGGCTAAAACAAGGACTGGTCGGCTCGGAGTCAGTATACTGTGTCTGAGTGGGGTATTCATGTTAAACTGCGGCATGGTATCTCAGTGGGCTAGCACTATAAATCGGCATCAGTCCGGTCTAGTACAAGCAGCCACACACACACACACGTGCATGCACGTCGCTATATAAGTGCAATAATCTTGGACGCGACGTTAAACCAAATTTCACCTCACCTCACCTCACCTGACGTGTATTATACCACAGTTTGTTTATCATGTGATAGAAATTGAAGCTTACAATATATCTAATATTTTACTGAGAAAATACGCAGCAAGAAATATGAACATATTTTTGTTTGTTAATGTAGAGGGGGATTTCTGAGTAACTCTCCATTCTTTAAAAATAACGGAAGCCGAGGCCCAATTTTTTAAGGTTTTAAGGAACAGAGTTACGAGGATATTCCCATACTTAAAATACATCCCTATTTTACACTTTGACAAAACCTTCCCTTTTGAAAAATATTTGAAGAATAAACCAGAACACTTTGTGGACTATATTTACACTGTGTGGGTCGCACTTGCGTCATGCACGAGGAATACGTTCTCCCCCGCTGTTGCACGTGCATCAAGCTCCATCGCGAGCTGATATTTACAATGCATGGTACACGGCATTTCATAATTTCATTGGGTTCAGCTGGTATTTATCAATCGCTCGCACGTTGTAAATACAAGCCGATGGGGAGTTTGGATAATATAGCGCCCTGAACAAGGATACATTATGTTTACCCGACGTCTCTCAGGTAACCATCTGAACGGAAATATTATTATATTTTTTAGCTTTTAAGGGTTATGCAATTTTTTGAAAATATTTAATAGGTAATTTCACACCGTTCCGTCATGTGTCGCCAAAGCTGAGGTCGACAATTAGATGCTGGCGACAAGATTTGTAATCATTCACTTGTCAAATTATAGAAAAATAGTTCCGTCTATTTCAAGTGTAAATTAATTAAAATTTGGGTTCAGGATAATCTACGATTGGCAAACAACTGTCCATTCCTGAAAAATAATGGTGTTTTAACAATAGAATGACGTCACAGATGTGTTTTACGATGCCCTCATGATCACCAATATCATGCACAGACAGACATATTTTTTTATTTTCGTCTCTCCACTGTTCATCTGGGAAAAAACAGGCCCGTGAAGATCCGGGGTAGAATAGATCTTCAACAACCCATGCTTGCCGTAAATGGCGACTATGCTTGTCGTAAGGGGCGACTAACGGGATCGGGTGGTCAGGCTTGCTGACTTGGTTGATGCATGTCATTGGTCCCAATTGCGTTGATCGATGCTCATGATGTCAATCACTGGACTGTCTGGTCAATCCTCGATTATTTACAATCCGCCGTCATATAGCTGGAATATTGTTGAGTGTGGCGTTAAACAACAAATAAACAAACAAAGAAAACATAATAGAAAATGCATAAAATAGGAGTTTATACATTTAAAAAAAACAATACAGCGCGACTCATATAAAGTTATGAGAGACGATACAAAACTTTTAAAATAAATTCAGATAATCTTTTACCCATATAACATTAGCTTTCTGCGTTGCAATACATGTATTACCGAGCAGGTTTTGGCAGTGTAATATACTTAATTTAAAAGCCTCCCCAAAAATCACAAACACTATAATATATATGTTTATGGAATAAGTTTTTTTACAACCACGGGGCCACGGGTGGCCCAGTCGTCTAAGGCGCCGCGATTCACTGTGCAGAGTTGCGTCCCTTGGGCACGCCAGAAACATGATTGTGGGTTCGAATCCCGGTTCGCCCCGATTATGTTTCTAGGTTTGTCAGCACCATACCCGTGCTCTTGGGTTTCACCGAAGTGGTAAACGTCTGAGACCTGCATCACTTCGGGCTTTCCTTCCACATTAAGCTGACACGCCGCGATATAACTGTAATACTGTTAAAAGCGGCGTTAAACCAAACTCACTTACTCACACTTTTACAACCAAACCAACATGTTATCATGGAAGGCAATGCGCATTCAAAATGTCATCATATGTTTAAAGAAAAGGGGAGGGGAGTCACCCCAAGAATCATTTTGAAGGTTACGAAATTATCGCAACCGTCATGTTTCTATGACGCATAAAAAAAGTTGAAATGATTATACTTAATTAACGTGTCATAATTAATTTTGTAAAATTGTGGTTATTGCCTAATTTAATACCTTGAATCGACACAATTTGAACGTGTATGCGGCTATTTTTAACAACGAATACTGATCTTGTGACAAGAACTTGTTTTTTTTAGGATTTGTTTTGTTTTCCGGATTAGGAAGGTTCTGGAAACAGAAGAAGTGGGCGTCAAGATTTCGATTTCGTAAACGTACGGAAACATCCGGGGATTTTTCTAGACTTTGTACAGGTTTACCGAGGCGGTCTCTACTTTTAACTTTACATATATTTTCAATACAACAGTTTCTGACTTATCGCGGTATGTTGTTTAACCATGAAATAAAACAATAAAACAGAAATAAACCCCAAAATATATCGAAAACTGTCATTTAATAACACTCCGAGGAGATTGCATAAATAGGGGATTCCCCTTTAGAAATGGCTGGCCGACATTGGAGAAAATTAACCAATCAGAGTACAGATATAAGTCATGTGGTAGGATTTCCCCGGAAATGCGTTGTATGTCAGAGAGCCAAATCTGGACAGCTTTCGCTTCTGTTTTGACGTATCTCGCTTCATTCATCATATAATACCGTAGACAAAGGTAATACAGCACATTTGTTTTATATACAATGTATCCATAATGAATGAGTAACTCACATTGATTACATTTGTGGGTAAATATGTCTTCGTTCGTGTGTGAAACTATCGACATGTTCTTACTATGTCACTGGTTTTACTGTGTCCGAGGTGACTTGTTCTGGGACATAAGTCGAGACAGTGATGCTTGGTTTGTTACTGAATCACTGATAACGTTCTCTAGCTAAGCGTCTCTGTGGTAAAATCTGTGTGTGTTTTTACCCTGGCAGACATAAAAAAAATCACCTTCGGAACATGATCTTTCATGTTCACTTTCGTAAACAAATATATTTTGGGGGATGCTACCATCAAATTACTTAAATTGTTTCTGAATTAATTCCATCCTAGGTGGTTATTGTGACCTGATGCCTGACTGACCATTCAGAATCGCGTAATTTCCAAATTCATGGTAGAATGAGCATTTTCTATTTACTCACATTTGGTCTGTCACATTGGGTATTGATAATTTTTTTTTGGCATTCAATATATTTTGTAATCTTTTGGGTCTAGTCTATTGGGTATTTTTAGAGAATGAATGAATAACTCTGCTTAAAATGCTGTGTCGGATGACTTCCTGGTGTGTCACATGTCACAGAAGCTCACAGATCAGTGAGTTACAACAAGCGAGACGGAACACTTTTGTGCATATTATTCACTGCCTTTCAAATGTTTGATCAGTAAATAAAGATCTGTAAAGGCATGGGTGAATCAGAAGGGCTTGGCTTGTCGTAAGAGTTGACTAACAGGACGGGTGGTCAGGTTCGCTGACTTGATTGATGCATGTCATCGATCCCAATTGTGTGGATCGATGCTCATGATATTAATCACTGAATTGTCTGGTCCAGGATCGATTATTTACAGATTCCGTCATATAGCTGGAATATTGCTGAAAAAATAATAATGCATATATATACACATGCAATCAAAATTAGTTGGGTTAAGGTGCTTTTGTGTATTTTAGGCAAATACACAGCTTATTATGGTTGTGTGGTATTACAGGAATATCAGTAAATTGAGGTCTCTTCTTTCCATTATATGTATCACAATATTATCATCTAATGCTCGGTATATCGGAAGATTTCAAATAGCAATTTTTATCATGTGTTTAATGTTATACAATTGCCAATACCTTTGAAATGTATCTGTAATTCAGTATCAGAAATTGGAACTAGTCCTAAAGCCTTTGCCAAATTGCCCAATAGTTATGATAGAATAAGGACTAGTAGACATTTGCCATTTTAAGGGTTGTGCTCTATGTTATTGTTATAAGCACTAGTGGATTAAACCTATTAGTTTCTATCGCTGTAATTCTGAAATGCAAGTTCGCGAAAGAAAGAGATAATTCCCAGTAACCTCCGTTATGTGCATTCGCATCTTTTCATACACTTCCGACAACATCTGGGGCACTTTGTTCTGAATTCAAAATTTAGAATTATACGGTATTTCCTGATACGAATCGCAAGACAGCCTTGTGTGTTGTAAAATATTGTGATACATTAAAAACCTCCAATACCAGTGTTCGAAATACCTGCCTGCCCGACCGTCCGAGACGGGTTGATTTCAACTCGGGTTGCCAGATTTTCAAATCCCCCTGCCCGACGGTCGGGTTATATTTCATATGTGAAATTATTCTAAATATTTCCCAATGATAAGCATTAATTCACATGTAAAGATGAATGATAAAATGTAACCAAAAAGAAACCCCGTTAGCTTATCCTGAGAAACATATGATTATAGTGGGCAGGCAGGTTTTGGTCAGGGCTGGCAAGTATTTCAGCTAGCCAGTCCTGTGGTCTGGCTGAAATTTTGGGGAGTTTCATACCCTGCCAATACACATTCCTACAGCGTTTAAACTTAATATTGCTGAATTTGACATAAATTTAACTCACTCATTACACATAAGGTACAAACACAGTGGCACAAAGTATCGCACTCAACCAATACCTGAGTGAATTTGGACTTAATTTTCCATTTTGGAGCAACTCTGTGGCCTTGTCGTAAGAGGCGACTTACAGGATCGGGTGGTCAGACTCGCTGTCTTGGTTGATGCATGTCATCATATTCCACATGCGTGGATCGATGCTCATGGCATCGATCACCTGGATTGTCAGGTCCAGACCCGATTATTTACAGACCGCCGTCATATAGCTGGAATATTGCTGAGTGCGGCGTTAAACAAAAGACAAACAAACAAACAAACGAAGCCTAGAAAAACAGCTTTTTTCCAGGCAAGCATCCCACACACACATGCATACATGTTAAGATCCATACATCCATGCCATGTTATCTTTCTATAACACTATTGACTAACACTCCCAATGTAGTTATGGATAAGGGCTAGTATAATTATTATTATATTTGCAGTTCCTAAAGCCATTGAAGTATAACGGTATCCCATGGGCGTTGGCCAGAAGATGACCGACCACGGCATGATGTCAGGCAAAGGGGAACCAGAGTATCCTACAATGCAGTGTGGTTCCCGGTTGACGGTGGAGCAGGAGCGAGACTGGTACAAGGAGAAGCTGCTGCACATGAAGGTGGTGTTCAGGGAGATGCAGCACAGTCTCCAGTCTCAGAAGATACGGAAGGAGGGGGTTGAGACTGTGTCCGTCTTGTTGAAGGAGTCCCGGCAGCAAATAACGACTTTGGAAAATCAAAAACGAGCACTTGAGACAGCTGTGAGAAATCTGCAGAACAGGCTGGCCAATCATGGACTGTCAAACAGTGTGACATTTGAAGAAAATGAACTTTTTATTCCGGGTACTTCCAAACAGATATTAGACAATTTAGCCAAAGAAAATGCAAGGTTGCGGAATCTACTTGGCATGTCCGGGGGATTTGAGGACGTGTCCAAATTACATGAGGTATGGATTTGTTGCTAAGGCATACCGTATTTGATGTAATAAGCGCCCAGGGCGCTCTCAAAGTTAGAAATGGGGGGGGGCTCTTATAAGAATAAAATTTTGATGAAAAAAAAATGGTTGAAAGATCGTAAATTTCGTGGTTTATGCTGACAGCCTGAAATGATACAAAATAAAAGTCTGTGCATATTATAACAAGAGATATATTTTTCCAGAATTTAATTGCCCATAACTAAGGGTGCATATAACACATGAGTGCGTATTATACAAGAAATAATAAGTCTTCGGGACATTGATCAATCAATGTCTGACCATTTTTGTGATGTAGGGGAAGAGGTTTTTATAGTCAGCTAATGAAAAGAGTCTTTCTTTGATTAATGTTAGTCCAAGCAGCCTTGTTCCGTGCATAAACACAGAGCTCCAGATAAGCTTTTGGTGTTGTAGGTATTTTACCCATGCATTTTAAAATCATTGGGTATCAGTAGTTCTATCTGGGTATTCAAATTTCTGTTACCCACTAGTTTTTACACAAGTGGGTATTTAAGTTAAATATTTAAAAACACTATTCATCTAGTCCCTGCAAACTGGTGTCATGTGGGTTCGAGAGCTTTATAGGACTCAAAAATACCACGATACTTCCACAAGAAAGTGTGATGGCAAATGATCATGATGTAACTGTCATCTTGGAGTTTGGCAAGGTTGACAGAATGCCCGTTTATAATTTCAAAATAAGTTGCTGATTTGCTAATCGAATGCACAGGGTTACTTCACAATATTTTGATGATACGCACAAGTTTTATTTTTGTAGTGTATCTGTAATGTTCGTTCGGATTTGATACGCTTGGATTTTATTTTACTGCATATTTCTGCATTTCTGATGAGTATTTTACGCAGATACGCAGATACGCAGATACGCAGCTTATCTTGAGCTCTGAAACATTTAGTGGACCTTACAGGGATTTATCTAGACTTGCTCTGAGGCCAGTATTCAGCCCCAAGTGTACCTCAAATGTCAGTAATATTTCGCAATATGAAACAGACTTTTGGCTTTAATACCTTCCTTGTGAAACTTGAATGACTGAACCATCATTCTAGGCAACAAAGTCCATCCAATTGTCTTAAACAGTATATTTGTAATACTGAAATATATTAAAGTGCCCAGTTACAACCATAATTTGAAACAATGACGGCGTGTATTGCGTCTTTAGTAGAATGAAAAGTCTTGTAGCATGTTGAGAATTGTTTTGTACATCGATCGTACATCGTGCCCCAAATTCGTAGATATATCTGTGGTCTAGGAAGTCTGAACGCAATAAAATGTGAAAAGATTACTTTGGTCCGAAATACTTAATCATATTTAAAATAATCGTAGTGACCTCAACAAATGGTGAAGTGGTAACCAGGATTTATCTCCAATATTTGGCTCCAAGTCTGCAGCAAGTTTCAGTAAGAAAAATGTCCTTTCGTGTAACAATGTTTAATTAATAGTAATAACTCTAGGCTTGATAGACATGATTGAGGTGACTTGTATTCATAAAAGTAGAGAAGAGGCTTGATTTCACTTTGTTGTATTGAATATTATGTCAAATGTTAAATACCTCTGAAGACAAGAACTTGAAACATATCCCAATTTTGAACAAACTGACATTTTTTCCCAATTTGGTTGCCAGAGGTGCTTAGTTTGAAATCCTAGATGAATCTGTGGATCCTGTTGTGAGGATACTCATTCGCTGTTCCTCGTCTATTTCAGACAATCGAGAGAGTGCAAGGGGTCAGCTCCAATCTGCAGGTCGAGAATGACAACTTGCTCCAGAAGGTCACTGACCTTGAAAACATGTTAAAGTCTTCGGACAGTGACAAGGACAAGATGATCTGTCAACTCCGTGAACACATTGACAAGCTTCAGTCCAACTCCCGGACCCAGGACGTCCTGTGTCAGTCCATGTCGGGCGAGGTGTCCGGTCTCCGATACAAGCTGAAGGACTTCGTGCTGCAGTGTCAGCAGCTGGAGATGAAGCTGGAGGATGCAGAGCAGAACAAAGTGACCTTCACCCAACAGGAAGTGCCGGTCACCGAGGTCAAATATAATCAAGTGAGTAATCTGCCTCAATTTTTTGTTCATATGTTCAACCATTTCCTTTGATAAATAATTATACATAAACACACTCATCATCAATGTGCAAAAGATTAAGTAATGAAAATGTCCTAGAATTAATAATCATGATAGGGCCAGTTCTATCAAAGACAATTTCCAGAAAACAAAAGATTGACAGTTACATTATCAAGATTGGGGGGGACTATTCCATTATTATGGAGATAAGGAAGGACGATTCTTTTAATATGAAGATTGGGGGGACTATTCTATTAATTTTTTACTTATCCTGCATTACTCCTTAATGCATTCACTGCTTACTTACGACAACTAGAAGGACAGCGCTGCGAAGGTCCTGGGTGAAGAAATAAAGTTGTTGTTCTCAAGTCCCAATCAGTGGCCTTCCGTCGCTGTCCTGTGACCTTGATGACACCTAAGGTCATCTTCACATCACTGCTTGTCGCAGCACAGCTAGGACGTGTCCAAGCGGAGCTCTCCTTTTGGATTAATTTTAGACCTTCAGTTTGTCTACAATCTTAAAAATTGATCTGCGATGGGTGATGTATTCTTTTCATATTACTTTCACCATGTTGTGTAGTTTTATGTGAATTAATTAGGCGTGAAAAGACACTTGGTTTTTTTTCCCGCCAAAATATTGTTGTTCGCCGCCATTTTGAATTGTGTTACAATCGTTTGCCTGCCAAGGTAGTCATATTGTTTACAATTCTCAGCTACGTATGTATAACATATTCTTATGTTCTTAAATATTACTAGCTTTGGCGTAACAGTGAGTTGCGTATACTAAAATTATTGTATACTTTTTCAACTCGTTAAAAATATGGTTGCCGATAGATTAATATCAAATCTACGGCTTTCTTCCAGTCCCGCTTCATCAACAATTCTTTTATTGCGTACCTATGTTTATGCGATTAAATAGTTTTTTGTTGGTATTTTTGGTTTTACATTGAGTTGCGTATATGAACTATTGTATACTCTTGCAACTCGTAGTTTTTGCCGATAGATTATTGTTCAATTCTATGGCATTCTTCCAGTACCGCCTCATCAACAATGGCGTAATTGTGTTTAATTTAAACATATTTTATTGACATATATGGTCAACGGGATTGGGCAAAAGTTATCCAACTTAGGTGGCCCTTTCCCTACTCTATATGTACAGACATTGAATATACATACATATATATATGTAATTGTGTAACTTATGATTGAGCGTGGTATTAATTGTCGTGGGAAAAATCTTACAAAGATTATCATCCACGTTGTTTGGTTTGCGCGCAGATGTGCTCTCCAAACCCTAAATGAAAATATAAATACCCTTGGTTTACATTGGGTTGCGCATACAAAAATATTGTATATCCTTGCAACTCATAAATTTGCCGATAGATTAGTGTTCAAATTCTTCGGCACTCTTCCAGTATTATCTCATCAACAAGGGTTTCATTGCGTAACATACCTTTGAGCATTTTACTAATTGTCGTGGAAAAAACCTTACAAGATTATCATCCACGATTGGTTGGTTTGCGCGCGGATGTGCTCTCCAATCTCTAAATGTAAATAGCCTTGGTTTACATTGAATTGCGTATATAAAAATATTGTATACCCTTGCAATTCGTATTTTTGCCGATAGATTACTGTTCAATTCTACGGCATTCTTCCAGTACCATTTCTTCAATGGTTTAATTGCGTAACATAATTATGTTTGCTCGGTGTACATATTGTCGTGGAATAATCGCCCAAAGCTCTTTATCCACGGTCATAGGCATGCACGTAGATGTGCTCGCCAAAATTCAAAATGTAATTTTTATGTAAATCTCTAATCCAACGAGTTTACTATATAAAAGCAGATTACTCACAATCATATTTTGCAGTTATTCCGTCGTGAGACGAGAGGAATGTCACTATCGCAGAATAGCGAATGACATATGGTTCTGTCATTACCACCCAACCGTTATTATCGGCAGGTATTATGACGACTGTGATTGCAGAAGTACACCATCCACCGAAATCAACAATACCGGAGGATTTTGTGAGTATCGTAACTGCTCCTATTTTTTCAGCCGCCGGACACTTCCAGATACATGTATGATAATCTGTGACGTCGGCGACAGCACCAGCGTATCGAGATGCTATGATGGGGGTAGATTAGACACAAGCCTTGATCCAGTCAATACTTTTGAGCTTTGTGTCTGATTTATCTGCGCCGAGCGCAGCACTTGACTACAACCAAAGCACTTCTATTACGCAAGCGGCGCACGATCAGCTTAGCGCTGTTCCAACATATCCAGCATAGACCTGCGCCGAGCGCAGCGTCTGACTGATACCCAAGCGCTCCTATCACGCCAGTGACGCAGGATCAGCTTAGCGCTGTTCCAACATATCCAGCATAGACCTGCGCCGAGCGCAGCGTCTGACTGATACCCAAGCGCTCCTATCACGCCAGTGACGCACGATCAGCTTAGCGCTGTTCCAACATTCCAGACCTGCGCTGAGCGCAGCGTCTGCGTATCAATCAAGGTCTCTACAATGACGTTAGCCCAAGGCTTACAGTGTACTCGGTTACGTAACCGGCACATGATCAGCTTAGCACATGTACCCGATTGGGAAGCAGACCATCTCGTGTCAGTAACGCCCTCCCCTGATAACAGGGTAAATAAGAGGGACACCACGAGGTCATTGGAGGAAGCCTTCTCCAAAACTCACATTTGCTCCGTGATTTAAGCGACCAATATCGTCAATGTTTGCAGTGGATCAGAATCTATTAGAGGATAACCCTATCTGATTAGATCACTTCCAAACTATGGTGTTTTTCCTACAGCGTCAGTTTGACCACAGGAAAATTCATCTTGAGACCGTTCTGACGGTGATTACCGTTACACACAAGACTTTATAGCGTTTCCAACTGAGATGCTGGTTTCAAGGGCAGTCTATTACGTCAACCTTGATCATCTACTCCCCTGTTCAACGAACAGATCGCAGACACGCACGTCAAGTTCCCAAAAAGCTTGGAAAGTCCAAGTCAGGGAATTATAAGCCTAGACGCGCGTTTCTCAGGGAAGACCAGCATTCCCTTACTGAGAAAGGGAGTGGCAGAGACAAGTCTCAAGGACGATTTCGTACTTATCGCACTATATCATGGTGTCCGTATAAGGGTAGAGTTAACCCCACCGTTGACCACAGTTTGATTGGGAAAATCCAACATAGACATACTGTTGGTAAGAAGAGCTGTAGAGTGGGTTCACAACCCAGTCTATACTCCGGGGTTTTATCCTCACACCTACCTGGTACTCATGAAGGACCCAGACAAGATGAGAATGATCCACAATCTCTGTGTTCAACGAACGTTTGATTCTTCATCAGTCTCGACTATCCATCCCAACCGTAGACATTTCAGGTCCAGTTCATTGGGGTTCACTACCAATGGTAGTATTTCACATTTGACATGTCAGTGACACTTATGGCTATTTACAGGAGTAATGAAGCCAATAACTATCTACACGTGACGAACACTTGGTTCGAGTCGTAGATGGAGGGCGATCTACTGTATCATCAACACATGTCAATAACTGGGATAGACAATCAACGAGGCGAAGTCGGGAGTATTCTCCTTCCTATTGACTTCAGTTCATAGGAGACCTGGTTAAGACAGACCAGGATATCCTATCTGTACCGAGGGACAGATGGCACAAGTTTCTACTTCTTTTGTCATCTACTCTACACCAACCACACACACTTCGCCAGTGGCAAGTGTTGCTAGGGTTAATCACCTCGGCACAGGAGTTAACTAGCATGGGCCGCTTACAACAGCGACCAATTCAATTTTTTTCCTGAACCCTTACATCAGGAGTCAGGATCCACTCAAGGCCATCACTCTACCAACTAAGCTAGAGCCTCAATTTGTGGCGCTGAATGTCTGCGGAGTCTGTTTATTCGGATTTTCCCCGAATACACACCTGTTTGTGGACGTCCCCTTTCAGGGGTGGAGTCTTCACTTACAAGACCAGATAAGCTCAGGGCTATGGCCCGGCGCACAATGGAAGTGGCACATAAACAACTTGGAGTTGGAAGCTTTAATTCTGGCTATATCACATTGGCAGAATCAACTACAGTTAGCCCGACTCGCTATATCCACAGACAACAGCACTGCGGTGTGGTGCCTGTGCAATCGGGGAACAACACACTCCCACTCTCCACTTCTAAGGACATTCAGATTTCTTCCATCTAGTGGATCGGCTGTGACTAAGGTTCATAGTTCAGCACATCCCCGGATGTAGAAACATACTGGCCGATACTTTATCACGTCCAGACAGGGTGGCTCCCACTGAGTGGAAATTTCTCACAGAAGCATTCCAGTTACTGCTTCAGGAATTCAGGCAACCAAACATTGACTTGTTTATTACTTGCCTAGGCCACCAACTCATGACGTATATCTCCCCGTTGCCGGATCCGCAGACTTGGGCGGTGGACGAGTTCAGTATCACTTGGGAAGGGCAAAGAACTAAAACTCTTCTGCCACCACTATAACTTCCCAAGGTGCTACAGGGGATCAAGGAGACAAGGTATCTCGATCTCTCCTTTGGTCGCACCATGGTAACCGGCGAGAGGGTAGTTCGTCAAGCTCGGAAAAATCTAAAACGATTCACTTCCCCTCTCACAGTGGTCCAACCTACTCATCCACCCTCAACAGAAAATTGCCTCACCCAACGTCTGCACGCATGGTTCGTCTTTAAAAGGCGTTTAAGTGCGAAGGGTTATTTCGACACGGGCAGCAAAGCTATAGCTTTAGTTCATCGTTACTCTCCCAGAGACGACGATGACAAGTGGGGATCACTTGAGACTTTTTACAGGGAAGAAAAGAATCAAGACCCTACGATTGCGTCACAATTCCTAGAGGAATACCTCCTACATTGCGTACCCAAAAACACTTGGAAGGTAGCACCATTACTACGTAATTGGCTGCAATTATCTTAGTGTTGGCCGTTTCCGGAAAATCACAGTGTGATTAAGGTCAGGGAACTACAGGCCATATTATGCTCATTCAGGTTTGAGGATCAGAAGGCCAAGTTCCAGCCACCTGATTGGGACTTGAACGTGGTACTTCGAGGTTTGCGAGGGCCCCCTTCGAGCCCCTCATTGCATCCTCATTTTCAAGCTCCTTCCCAGCGCGTGACACCTTCGTTACACTCTCGGTATAGTATAGAGAGCTCCGCGAACGGCTATCGCTGTGAGGAGCTTGGACATCACCAAGGAAACAATGGTTTCTCTTGGCATTAGCAATGGCGGTACGGGTGAGCGAACTACATGTGGTCGACTCAACCCGGATCCGTTTTGAGCATGGGACGCACGGAACAGGACATCTAGGGTTATGCTGGGATTTTATTGCTAAAATCTACTACCAGGCCAACCCGACCGTTCTTCACCATCCCACCGATATCGACTATTGTGGGAATCGTACATGGTGAAGTTCTCCTGGGCTCGGTGCGAGCAGTTCGAGTTTTCATTCGACGCTCCAAGAAAAGGCGTGGTTCGTCCACGACAGAAGTTAGTCGCATAATCGCAAACACCATATCTATATGGTTACGCGCAGTAATCCTTCAGGCCTACGAGATCATCAAACGGAACTCGCCGAGAGCGAATTACCCTCAAGATCTCAAGGTGTCAGCCTTACCAGGGCTCAACACGGCAATTGTGGTTTTGGAACAATCACGGAAGGATATTTCTGGAGATTCGACACATATTTTCGTTAGTCATAACCTTCGCGTTGTGACTCTCGAGGATGTCAAAGACGTTCGAAGTTTGGCCCTCTGGTTGTTATCCTGCAGATTGCCAACCACTGACGCAAATAATGAACTCGCCCTATACAGAGCCAGTCAACTTCCATGTGCAGTCACTCAGTCGCCACCAGTGGAAGAATATTAGACAATCTTGTTTGTCAGCGACGGCTCTATGACGCAGTAAGTAAAGAATTAGCTGAATAGCTATTATTTTCTTTATTACTAAGCGTGTATAGGGAATTTCTCTTTAATTCCTATGTTCAATGTTTTTGATTTTTGAACAACCCTACCGTAATGGCGTTTTTGTCTGAACTGTTCCGCTTCACGGTTTATCGACCAAATGGGGTCGTATTGCATGGTGTGAATTATTGAGGTTTCTGTATTCTGAAGGTTGACCCACCTCCAAACCGTCCGATACAGATGCATTAAGGAGTAATGCAGGATAAGTAAAAAATTTAGTAAAATCTAAATATTTTTTACATTTGTATACTTATCCTGCATTACTACGCTTAAGGCCCACCCGTCGTTAGACTTGCCTCCCCACTTTGGCTTCAGAAACCTCAAAAGTATGTTTTTCTAAGAGCTTGGGCGACAGGCAGTGATGTGAAGATGACCTTAGGTGTCATCAAGGTCACAGGACAGCGACGGAAGGCCACTGATTGGGACTTGAGAACAACAACTTTATTTCTTCACCCAGGACCTTCGCAGCGCTGTCCTTCTAGTTGTCGTAAGTAAGCAGTGAATGCATTAAGGAGTAATGCAGGATAAGTATACAAATGTAAAAAATATTTAGATTTTACTAATAACATAGATTGGGCAGAGACCTCCCCCCTATTTCAATGCTTCACATTGCCAGGGTGTCAGGGTCATTTACTCTTGAAACAAACTACTGGCCCTGAGACTGCTCACTGTGGGTCTGCTGGCCCTGTATTTCAGAACCTTCCTCACTTGTGAAAATGCATGTACATTTAAGTCATAATGTCATTATCGTAACACATGAGTGACAATTGTTTTCAGAAATCGGAGGATACCCCAGATGGCAATATTATTTTAGAAGAAACCACAAGATTGAAAGAAGAATTAAAAACTGTAAGTGTTCATCTTTGTTATTTGAAAAAAAAATTTGTGTCAAGGATTTAGTCAACACTTGCTCCTAGATAGTGAGGAATAGGTAAGAACTTGTGGAAACCTGGACGGAAACAATCAGATCAAGGATACAGACAATCAGATCAAGGATGTAAACAATCAGATCAAGGATATAAGCAATCAGATCAAGAATACAAACAATCAGATCAAGGAATTAGATCAAGGATATAAACAATTAGATCAAGGATATAAACAATCAGATCAAGGATATAAGCAATCAGATCAAGGATACAAACAATCAGATCAAGGATACAAACAACCAGATCAAGGATACAAACAATCAGCTTGCTGTAAAAGGTGACTATGCTTGTCGTAGAAGGCGACTAACGGGATCGGGTGGTCAGGCTCGCTGACTTGGTTGATGTCATCAATCCCAATTGCGTGGATTGATGCTCATGATATTAATCGCTGGATTGTCTGGTCCAGACTCGATTATTTACAGACCGCCATCATATAGCTGGAATATTGCTGAGTGCAGCGTTAAACAACAAACAAACAAACAAACAAGCAACAGTAAATTTTCTCTTATCCCAGTCCTAGAGTCCACCTTGATAGCTATTTACAATGTGCTTCCCACAGTTGAAGGAGATGAACCGGCGATGGCAGGATTACAACAGCGACCGTGAACGCTACACCCAGGAGCTGCACAGCAACTACCGTGAGCTCCAGCAGCGCTATAAGACCAGCCAGGAGAGTCGGATCACGGAGGAGAGGGAGCGTCAGCTCAACAATCTGCTTGTCACAGCCAAGGAGAAACTGGAGAAGATGGAGGTTGACAAGAAACAGGTATAGTTGTTAATCAGGATTACAGAGCTCCAGATAAGCTGCGTATCTGCGTAAAATACGCATAAAAAATGCTGAAATACGCAGTAAAATAAAATCTAAGCGTATCAAACATGTCAAATACGCAACGAACATTACAGATTCGCTACAAAAATAAAACTTGTGCGTATCATCAAAATATTGTGAAGTAACCCTGCGTATTCGATTAGCAAATCAGCAACTTATTTTGAAGTTATAAACGGGCATTCCGTCAACCTTGCCAAACTCCAAGATGACAGTTACATCATGATCATTTGCCATCACACTTTCTTGTGGAAGTATCGTGGTATTTTTTAGTCCTATAAAGCTCTCGAACCCACACGACACCCACATTGAGATACATTTATCTGCGTAGTCCAGTTACATCTATAGCAACCAAGTTACCAGACACCTCCCTCTCAAAAAGAACATCATCCAATATGTGGCGTTATCAAATTGCGAGCACATATTCTAATCTCCGGAAATGACGTCATGATAGAACAGTTTTTTATCAATAAATTAACCATGCTTCGTTCTTCATTGTTCTTTGTGATTTATCGTGTAGCTATTTTATATCATTGTTCATTGAGGATGAATTTCTCTAAATATTAGTGATGCTAGGTGCATTACACTTTCCAGGATACCTGCCGGTCATAATTGGCCAAATTGAAAAATATGTTAAAAAATAGGAGAAAAAATGAATCAAAATGCATTTGTATGGTTTACATCGATTAAACTAAATATTTTTATTTTCATTGACCTGTAAAATATGACATCAGTAGAAATGCTCTATGTATACTTCTCAAAAGAAGTTAAGCACAACCCAATTCATGTGGAATATTGAGGTCAATTGACAGTGTTAGCTGTAACCATGACTGTAACGGACTGCTGACACATACAACCTGAAGTGTGATTGTTAATAATAATAATAATAATAATTGATTTGTAAAGCGCCTAATATCCATCGACAGTTGCTCACTGGCGCTGTGACAAAGTTAAAATGTAATGTCTATGTACATATGCCAACAATCAGGAGATCTATTGAAAAGCTGAAGTGAAGACGTGGGTTTTGAGGAGAGACTTAAACGTTTCCTTAGAAGCAGAGAACATGTTCCAACATCCCCTTGTTCACTTCAGCTTGCGGAGAAGTTGGAGGCATCGGAGGCCACAGTTGGCAGCCAGATGATAGAGATGCAGCAGCTGAGGTTGATGTCTGGAGGAGGGGACTTAGAGACCATTGCGGCACTCAAGGCACAGATACAGGTGTGCACCGAGGACTTCGAGACAGAGAGACAGGACCGCGCCAAGGCTCAAGCTAGAGCTCACCTGTTGCAGGAAGAAGTCAATAACCTGCGTGTGGAGGTAGGTGGCGCCATCTGGAACACTTGTTGTGTTGTATGTGTAGCAGCCATAAAATTTTCGAGTCCCGTGATGGGATTCAAACCCCAGCCTTCTGGCTCGGGCGGACGCCTTGTCCATATGACCAGAGAGGTTTATCCCATCAGCAAGCTGACAAGGTTAGGATATTGCCTGTGGGATGACTCCATGCCCTGCTACACATTCTTGGAAATTCCTTGTATTGTTATGATGGAACTGTTGAAATTGTAATTGCAGGGTTAAAAAAGTTGCCCTGAAGGACACATGTAGAAATTATGAATTATCTCTGCCTAAGTACTTGTACCAGTAACACAAAGAAAATACTAAGGGTCGCCAACTCAAGTCTGGTCGATCTGCCCTTCCTGATCAGGCACATTACAAACAAGTGTCTTTGTTACAATGTTATGACTATACCGTACCCTCACCATTCCCCTACCGTACCGTCACCATTCCCCTACCGTACCCTCACCATTCCCCTACCATCCCTTCACCATTTCCCTACCATCCCTTCACCGTTCCTCTACTGTCCCTTCACCATTTCCCTACCGTCCCTTCACAATTCCCCTACCGTCCCTTCACCATACCCCTACCGTCCCTTCACCATTCCCCTACCATCCCTTCACCATTTCCCTACCGTCCCTTCACCGTTCCTCTACCGTCCCTTCACCATTCCCCTACCGTCCCTTCACCATACCCCTACCGTCCCTTCACCATTCCCCTACCATCCCTTCACCATTCCCCCACCGTCACTTCACCATTCCCCTACCATCCCTTCACCATTTCCCTACCGTCCCTTCACCGTTCCTCTACCGTCCCTTCACCATTCCCCTACCGTCCCTTCACCATACCCCTACCGTCCCTTCACCATTCCCCTACCGTCCCTTCACCATACCCCTACAGTCCCTTCACCATTCCCCTACCATCCCTTCACCATTTCCCTACCATCCCTTCACCGTTCCTCTACTGTCCCTTCACCATTTCCCTACCGTCCCTTCACCATTCCCCTACCGTCCCTTCACCATACCCCTACCGTCCCTTCACCATTCCCCTACCGTCCCTTCACCATTCCCCAAACGTCCCTTCACCATTCCCCTACCATCCCCTCACCATTCCCCTACCATCCCTTCACCATACCCCTACCGTCCCTTCACCATTCCCCTACCATCCCTTCACCATACCCCTACTGTCCCTTCACCATTCCCCTACCATCCCTTCACCATTCCCCTACCATCCCTTCACCATTCCCCTACCATCCCTTCACCATTCCCCTACCATCCCTTCACCATACCCCTACTGTCCCTTCACCATTCCCCTACCGTCCCTTCACCATTCCCCTACCATCCCTTCACCATTCCCCTACCATCCCTTCACCATACCCCTACTGTCCCTTCACCATTCCCCTACTGTCCCTTCATCATTCCCCTACCATCCCTTCACCATTCCCCTACCATCCCTTCACCATTCCCCACCATCCCTTCATCATTCCCCCACCGTCCCTTCACCATTCCCCTACAGTCCCTTCACCATTCCCCTACAGTCCCTTTACCATTCCCCCACCGTCCCCTCACCATTCCCCTACAGTCCCTTCACCATTCCCCTACCGTCCCTTCATCATTCCCCTACAGTCCCTTCACCATTCCCCTACAGTCCCTTCACCATTCCCCCACCGTCCCCTCACCATTCCCCTACAGTCCCTTCACCATTCCCCTACCGTCCCTTCATCATTCCCCCACCGTCACTTCACCATTCCCCTACCTTTCCCTTCACCATTCCCCCACCGTCCCCTCACTATTCCCCTACCGTCCCTTCACCATTCCCCTACCATCCCTTCACCATTCCCCTACCGTCCCTTCATCATTCCCCCACCGTCCCTTTACCATTCCCCTACTGTCCCTTCATCATTCCCCTACAGTCCCTTCACCATTCCCCCACCGTCCCCTCACCATTCCCCTACCGTCCCTTCACCATTCCCCCACCGTCCCTTCACCATTCCCCTACAGTCCCCTCACCATTCCCCCACCGTCACTTCACCATTCCCCTACAGTCCCCTCACCATTCCCCCACCGTCACTTCACCATTCCCCCACCATCCCCTCACCATTCCCCCACCGTCACTTCACCATTCCCCTACAGTCCCTTCACCATTTCCCTACAGTCCCTTCACCATTCCCCTACTGTCCCTTCATAATTCCCCTACCATCCCTTCACCATTCCCCTACCATCCCTTCACCATTCCCCACCGTCCCTTCATCATTCCCCCACCGTCCCTTCACCATTCCCCTACAGTCCCTTCACCATTCCCCCACCGTCCCCTCACTATTCCCCTACCATCCCTTCACCATTCCCCTACCGTCCCTTCATCATTCCCCCACCGTCCCTTTACCATTCCCCTACTGTCCCTTCATCGTTCCCCTACAGTCCCTTCACCATTCCCCTACCGTCCCTTCACCATACCCCTACCGTCCCTTCACCATTCCCCTACCATCCCTTCACCATTTCCCTACCATCCCTTCACCGTTCCTCTACTGTCCCTTCACCATTTCCCTACCGTCCCTTCACCGTTCCTCTACCGTCCCTTCACCATTCCCCTACCGTCCCTTCACCATACCCCTACCATCCCTTCACCATTCCCCTACCATCCCTTCACCATTCCCCCACCGTCACTTCACCATTCCCCTACCATCCCTTCACCATTTCCCTACCGTCCCTTCACCGTTCCTCTACCGTCCCTTCACCATTCCCCTACCGTCCCTTCACCATACCCCTACCGTCCCTTCACCATTCCCCTACCGTCCCTTCACCATACCCCTACCGTCCCTTCACCATTCCCCTACCATCCCTTCACCATTTCCCTACCATCCCTTCACCGTTCCTCTACTGTCCCTTCACCATTTCCCTACCGTCCCTTCACCATTCCCCTACCGTCCCTTCACCATACCCCTACCGTCCCTTCACCATTCCCCTACCGTCCCTTCACCATTCCCCAAACGTCCCTTCACCATTCCCCTACCATCCCCTCACCATTCCCCTACCCTCCATTCACCATACCCCTACCGTCCCTTCACCATTCCCCTACCATCCCTTCACCATACCCCTACTGTCCCTTCACCATTCCCCTACCATCCCTTCACCATTCCCCTACCATCCCTTCACCATTCCCCTACCATCCCTTCACCATTCCCCTACCATCCCTTCACCATACCCCTACTGTCCCTTCACCATTCCCCTACCGTCCCTTCACCATTCCCCTACCATCCCTTCACCATTCCCCTACCATCCCTTCACCATACCCCTACTGTCCCTTCACCATTCCCCTACTGTCCCTTCATCATTCCCCTACCATCCCTTCACCATTCCCCTACCATCCCTTCACCATTCCCCACCATCCCTTCATCATTCCCCCACTGTCCCTTCACCATTCCCCTACAGTCCCTTCACCATTCCCCTACAGTCCCTTTACCATTCCCCCACCGTCCCCTCACCATTCCCCTACAGTCCCTTCACCATTCCCCTACCGTCCCTTCATCATTCCCCTACAGTCCCTTCACCATTCCCCTACAGTCCCTTCACCATTCCCCCACCGTCCCCTCACCATTCCCCTACCATCCCTTCACCATTCCCCTACAGTCCCTTCACCATTCCCCTACCGTCCCTTCATCATTCCCCTACCTTTCCCTTCACCATTCCCCCACCGTCCCCTCACTATTCCCCTACCGTCCCTTCACCATTCCCCTACCATCCCTTCACCATTCCCCTACCGTCCCTTCATCATTCCCCCACCGTCCCTTTACCATTCCCCTACTGTCCCTTCATCATTCCCCTACAGTCCCTTCACCATTCCCCCACCGTCCCCTCACCATTCCCCTACCGTCCCTTCACCATTCCCCCACCGTCCCTTCACCATTCCCCTACAGTCCCCTCACCATTCCCCCACCGTCACTTCACCATTCCCCTACAGTCCCCTCACCATTCCCCCACCGTCACTTCACCATTCCCCCACCATCCCCTCACCATTCCCCCACCGTCACTTCACCATTCCCCTACAGTCCCTTCACCATTTCCCTACAGTCCCTTCACCATTCCCCTACTGTCCCTTCATAATTCCCCTACCATCCCTTCACCATTCCCCTACCATCCCTTCACCATTCCCCACAGTCCCTTCATCATTCCCCCACCGTCCCTTCACCATTCCCCTACAGTCCCTTCACCATTCCCCCACCGTCCCCTCACTATTCCCCTACCATCCCTTCACCATTCCCCTACCGTCCCTTCATCATTCCCCCACCGTCCCTTTACCATTCCCCTACTGTCCCTTCATCATTCCCCTACAGTCCCTTCACCATTCCCCCACCGTCCCCTCACCATTCCCCTACCGTCCCTTCACCATTCCCCTACTGTCCCTTCATAATTCCCCTACCATCCCTTCACCATTCCCCTACCATCCCTTCACCATTCCCCACCGTCCCTTCATCATTCCCCCACCGTCCCTTCACCATTCCCCTACAGTCCCTTCACCATTCCCCCACCGTCCCCTCACTATTCCCCTACCATCCCTTCACCATTCCCCTACCGTCCCTTCATCATTCCCCCACCGTCCCTTTACCATTCCCCTACTGTCCCTTCATCATTCCCCTACCGTCCCTTCACCATTCCCCCACCGTCCCTTCACCATTCCCTTACCATTCCCCCACCGTCACTTCACCATTCCCCTACAGTCCCCTCACCATTCCCCCACCGTCACTTCACCTTTCCCCCACCGTCACTTCACCATTCCCCTACAGTCCCTTCACCATTCCCCTACAGTCCCTTCACCATTCCCCTACAGTCCCTTCACCATTCCCCTACAGTCCCTTCACCATTCCCCTACAGTCCCTTCACCATTCCCCCACCATCCCCTCACCATTCCCCTACAGTCCCTTCACCATTCCCCCACCATTCCCCTACAGTCACTTCACCATTCCCCTACAGTCCCTTCACCATTCCCCTACAGTCCCTTCACCATTCCCCCACCATCCCCTCACCATTCCCCCAGCGTCACTTCACCATTCCCCCACTGTCACTTCACCATTCCCCTACCTTTCCCTTCACCATTCCCCCACCGTCCCCTCACCATTCCCCTACAGTCCCTTCACCATTCCCCTACCGTCCCTTCACCATTCCCCCACCATCCCCTCACCATTCCCCCACCGTCACTTCACCATTCCCCTACAGTCCCTTCACCATTCCCCCACCGTCACTTCACCATTCCCCTACAGTCCCTTCACCATTCCCCCACCGTCCCCTCACCATTCCCCTACAGTCCCTTCACCATTCCCCCACCGTCCCTTCACCATTCCCCTACCTTTCCCTTCACCATTCCCCCACCGTCCCCTCACTATTCCCCTACCGTCCCTTCACCATTCCCCTACCATCCCTTCACCATTCCCCTACCGTCCCTTCATCATTACCCCACCGTCCCTTAACTATTCCTCTACTGTCCCATCATCATTCCCCTACAGTCCCTTCACCATTCCCCCACCGTCCCCTCAGCATTCCCCTACCGTCCCTTCACCATTCCCCTACCGTCCCTTCACCATTCCCCCACCGTCCCTTCACCATTCCCCTACAGTCCCCTCACCATTCTCCCACCGTCCCTTCACCATTCCCCTACAGTCCCCTCACCATTCCCCCACCGTCACTTCACCATTCCCCCACCATCCCCTCACCATTCCCCCACCGTCACTTCACCATTCCCCTACAGTCCCTTCACCATTCCCCTACAGTCCCTTCACCATTCCCCCACCGTCCCTTCACCATTCCCCTACCTTTCCCTTCACCATTCCCCCACCGTCCCCTCACTATTCCCCTACCGTCCCTTCACCATTCCCCTACCATCCCTTCACCATTCCCCTACCGTCCCTTCATCATTCCCCTACAGTCCCTTCACCATTCCCCCACCGTCCCCTCAGCATTCCCCTACCGTCCCTTCACCATTCCCCCACCGTCCCTTCACCATTCCCCTACAGTCCCCTCACCATTCTCCCACCGTCACTTCACCATTCCCCTACAGTCCCCTCACCATTCCCCTACCATCCCTTCACCATTCCCCTACCGCCCCTTCATCATTCCCCTACAGTCCCCTCACCATTCCCCCACCGTCACTTCACCATTCCCCCACCATCCCCTCACCATTCCCCCACCGTCACTTCACCATTCCCCTACAGTCCCTTCACCATTCCCCTACAGTCCCTTCACCATTCCCCTACAGTCCCTTCACCATTCCCCTACAGTCCCTTCACCATTCCCCCACCGTCCCCTCACCATTCCCCTACAGTCCCTTCACCATTACCCCACCGTCCCCTCACCATTCCCCTACAGTCCCTTCACCATTCCCCTACCGTCCCTTGATCATTCCCCTACCTTTCCCTTCATCATTCCCCCACCGTCCCCTCACCATTCCCCTACCGTCCCTTCACCATTCCCCTACAATCCCTTCACCATTCCCCTACTGTCCCTTCATCATTCCCCCACCGTCCCTTTACCATTCCCCTACTGTCCCTTCATCATTCCCCTACAGTCCCTTCACCATTCCCCCACCGTCCCCTCACCATTCCCCTACCGTCCCTTCACCATTCCCCCACCGTCCCTTCACCATTCCCCTACAGTCCCCTCATCATTCCCCCACCGTCACTTCACCATTCCCCTACAGTCCCCTCACCATTCCCCCACCGTCACTTCACCATTCCCCCACCATCCCCTCACCATTCCCCTACAGTCCCTTCACCATTCCCCTACAGTCCCTTCACCATTCCCCTACAGTCCCTTCACCATTCCCCTACAGTCCCTTCACCATTCCCCTACCATCCCCTCACCATTCCCCCACCGTCACTTCACCATTCCCCCACCGTCACTTCACCATTCCCCTACAGTCCCTTTACCATTCCCCCACCGTCACTTCACCATTCCCCTACAGTCCCTTCACCATTCCCCTACAGTCCCTTCACCATTCCCCTACAGTCCCTTTACCATACCCTCACCAAATTTCCAAAGGCAAGTGACTATAGAAGTCCAGTTTCAACTCTTGCCGAACTTGACTGGAATTTTGTGGCTCGATTGTAATGCCATTAGTGGCTATTTTGAGTTATGTGCCTTCTATATTCCACCTCCTGACCAAGATTCCACCTCTCCTATCACTTGCATTTGCTTCAATCAAAATGGTTGTGCCCAGTCTGATCGATAATCAAGATCTATTAAGTAATAAAAAGGGGTCTTTCCTTGTGAAGTGCATCATATCACTTGAGCACCTAAATTGAAAACATGAAAAGATTTGGCAAATATCTGTTGATGCCCAGTTGGCAGTACACATGCTTTGCAAATCCTGCAATTGACTGAAATTTGCATGTTGAAATCCATGTCATGCCAAAATATAACTCCATAATTCCAGCCTTTTTCAGCAAGGATGAAAACTGGACTTCTATAGTCAGTTAACTCCCTTGCCTCTGGAAGATGAGTTAGATGACCCTCACTATACCAACACCATCCCCTCACCATCCCCTCACTATACCAACACCATCCCCTCACCATCCCCTCACTATACCAACACCATCCCGTCACCATGGTGACAATGAGTCTGGAACCTACCACTGCCTCAGGGAATACACTTTACATCATGGTCTTCTTGTTTCAGAATAATCAGTTGAGATGCTCAGGAAATCAAAACCTGTTATCACGGCAATCTCAGGTCTACAGCAGGCACCAATCCATTGCACTGGAGGTATGTATGCTCAGTAAACACCCAATTGCCACCTACCCTTTGTCTCTGTGACCCATTGGGACTCCAGGTTAGAATAGGTCCCCAGCAGCCTGGCCTTAAGTGAGTGAGTGAGTATGGTTTTACGCCGCTTTTAGCAATATTCCAGCAATATCACGGCGGGGGACACCAGAAATGGGCTTCACACATTGTACTCATGTCGGGAATCGAACCCGGGTCTTCGGCGTGGCGAGCGAACGCTTTAACCACTAGGCTGACCGACCGCCCGGCCTGGCCTTAAGAGGAAACTTGATGGATCTGGGGCTTGTTTGACAGAGCGATCATAGCGCTGCGATTGTCGTAAGCCTATGTTAAGATGTAGGTGTTACGATAATGTTACGATCTCTTTGTTAAGCGGGGCCCTGGTGGTCAGACCCTGTGACACTATTTGATCGCGTGTCATTGTACACCATCGCTGTGGATGGTTGCTCATTACATCAGTCATGAGATTGTCTGGTCCAGAATCCATTATATATAGGATGACATCTTACAGCTAGAATATTGCTGAGTGCTGTGAAATCCTCCTCAGTGTTCCTATAAGAGTTGTAAGAGCAGACTACTGTTGTTGTTTGTTGTTTAACGCAGCACTCAGCAATATTCCAGCTATATGATGGCGGTCTGCAAATAATCGAGTCTGGACCAGACAATCCAGTGATTGACATCATGAGCATTGATCCACGCAATTGGGATACGATGACATGCATCATCCAAGTCAGCGAGCCTGACCCCCCGATCCCGTTAGTGGTCTTTTATGACAAGCATTGTCGCTTTTTGCGGCAAGCATGGGTTGCTGAAGACTCCTGGGATTGGGTGGTTGTTATGTGTGACGTGGATGACAATGCAGCCCAATGCAGAAAAAAATTCTAATATTGTTTGGAGTGCAGCATGTTTAGTAGTGACAGATGACAGTGACAAGCATACATGTTTACTTCTGAAAGGGCTTTGTTTTTTACTAGATTATTACAGCGACCAAAGACTACCTACGATACACTTAATGAAATGTTTTTTTAAAAGTCAATAGTTACTCTATTTTTAGAGGATTTGGGGAGCTGTATCTTTTTATTTTTCTAATCCGTAAAACATGGAGTGGTCAACAATGTTCAGGCAGATATTGATAAATTGAAACTATTTTGATTTGATGTTCTTTTTGTGGATTTTGGCTGAATACCTAAACTGAAAAATAAAAAAAGGGTCACATTCACTCCTTTTAGAAAATTTGCTTCAGAATCATCGTTTTCATTCTTAAGACTTATGACACAGAAAGTCCCATTATACACTGATGTAACATGGATGATGCTCCTGTTGTCAGCCTCCGCAGCTTCAAGCACGAGGATGGCCGCAGCGGCGAGGATTAATTGTGACTGATGGCAACATGACAGAAACTGATGGCAACCTACCGGGGACAAAGTCGCCTGGCACCAGCCCGAGACTGATCACATCACGATCGCCCACCAACCCTAGTGTGCCACGACACTCCCCTAGTTTCTTGACCTCCGGGCCAGTGAGCCTCCCCGTCATGAGGTCGGACCCTAGTCTGTTTAAACCAGCCTTGAGGAAGAAGGAGGAAGAAACGCTCTGTTGTCCTAAATGTGGGCAAGGCTTTTCAGAGGAAGAGCAGGACAAGTTACTTGAACACATGGAGGTTTGTTGTGAGTAGCTTCACTCAGACACTTTGAAATTCTGATGGATTGTTCAACTGGGATTGGATTAGAGGAGGGGTGTTTTCGGAAGCCGATCTGATGTTTTGAGGTTGAGTGTGAGAAATTGTGTGTTGTGGCTTCGCTGAGACGCATCAAGATCAAACCTTAGGGTGTCTTGGGTGTAGCGGTATGTTGTGGGTATATGTACTGAGACACATGGTGAGGAGTGTTCCTCTGAGCTTGGCTTACATAAGGGGTGTTTTGGGAAATCAATCCAATGTTTTGAGGTTGAGTATGAGAGATTGTGTGTTGTAGCTTCGCTGATACACATCAAGATAAAATTTTGGAGCGTCTTGGGTGTAGTGGTATGTTGTGAATAATCCTACCGAGACACATGGTGATGAGTGTTCCTATGGGATTGGTTTACATGAGGGGTGTTTTCGGAAGCCAATTGGATGTTCTAGGGGTAGAGTATGACAGATAGTTCAAGGAATGGAGCAATACCTTTTATTACAGCCATAAACTGCAAAGAGCATGCACCACGTCTTGGGAGGGGGGAGGAGGGAGGGGTATAGGTTGTGAAACCAAATGTAGCAGGGTGTAGAGTCATCCCACAGATGACATCCTTACCTTGTCAGTGTAGCAGGGTGTGGAGTCATCCCACAGATGACATCCTTACCTTGTCAGTGTAGCAGGGTGTGGAGTCATCCAGCAGATGACATCCTTACCTTGTCAGTGTAGCAGGGTGTGGAGTCATCCCACAGATGACATCCTTACCTTGTCAGTCTAGCAGGGTGTGGAGTCATCCAGCAGATGACATCCTTACCTTGTCAGTGTAGCAGGGTGTGGAGTCATCCAGCAGATGACATCCTTATCTTGTCAGCATGCTGACAGAGTTAACCCCTTTGGTCATGTGGACAAGGCACATGGCCTTGGATCAGAAGGTCTGTGGTTCGAATCCCATCAAATGGATCGGAAATTTTGTGGCCGCTACACTGAGAAAATTCGGCTGTGAGTAGCTCACATGACTCTTTATATAGACCAAGGGTTAAGTACTATAATGTGTGGTGTACCATTGTGACATGCGGCTTTGAACCTGTAAATAACCTGACCTGTAGCTGATGATGCTGTGATGATCGATTATCGTCACTAATCGATGATTGATTGGTTACCCAAACAAATGCAAAGATCGACTGTGATGAAAATCAGTTGTGGAAAAAAATATTATTTAACATTGAATATTAAAATATAATTTTCTTTTAAGAATCAAGTTTGAAAATTTCAGATCATGAAAAAGGCAGGGACATGATCGGGAAGACATTATTTAACCAATTCTAATCCATGTTTGATTTGTTGAAAGAAGCCGATCCTAACCACTGATCAGTGCTAACATTCTGACGCCCACTATGTGTAGGGTTTGTGTCACAATGTGTAAGGAGTGGACTGGTCTTGGGGGGCATGGGTGGCCCAGTCGTCTAAGGTGCAGCGATTCGCTGTGAAGGGTTGCGTCCCTTGGGCACGCCAGAAACCTATGATAGTGGGTTCAAATCCTGGTTCGCCCCGATTATGTTTCTAGGTTTGTCAGCACCATACCTGTGCTCGTGGGTTTCACCGAAGTAGTAAATGTCTGAGACCTGCATCACTTCGGGCTTTCCTCCCACATTAAGCTGACACGCCACGATATAACTGGAGTACTGTTCAAAGCGGCGTTAAAACCAACTCACTCACTTACTCACTGACTCACTGGACTGGTCTGGTATGGTATAAGCCAGAAGTGATTTATGTATAGTATACAGAGGACATACAAATGACTGAATGACTTGTTTGACGGGTCAATGTTTGACGACAAAAGTTGTAAAACAATATGAAAATATTGGAATGTGGTGAACTTTGATTGATTGTAAATATTTGATTTATATTATTTCCTCTATGTCACCATGGTTACAGCTATATCTCAGTGCTTTGTATTTGTTCCTTGTTTGTTTGGAAATGTGATAAGATTTTATAATATTCACCTGTCCATATGTTTTATATCAGAATCTAACATGTGCTCATGTAAACAGATTTCAATTTTGTATATTTGTAGGCCTTTCTTTGTGATATTTATGCCTCATAATTTAATATACTTTTATTTCACCAGAACTCCTTTCATTTATTACTGTTAGAGTTTCTAGTTTTTTATTGTTTGTTGTGCATGTCGTGCTAGTTTTTCTTTTAGTCTGGTAATGGAAGTTCGAGGGGGAAGGGGCATGAAAAAAATGCAGTCCTGAGACAATGCCATTATGAGGAAGAGACATCAGTGTGACAGTCCTGAGACAATGCCATTATGAGGAAGAGACAGTAATGCGACAGTCCTGAGACTATTGCCATTATAGATAATAGACATTCATGTGACAGTCCTGAGACAATGCCATTATAGAGAATAGACAGTAATGCGACAGTCCTGAGACAATGCCATTATAGAGAATAGACAGTAATGCGACAGTCCTGAGACAATGCCATTATAGAGAATAGACAGTAATGCGACAGTCCTGAGACAATGCCATTATAGAGAATAGACAGTAATGCGACAATGCCATTATAGAGAATAGACATTCATGTGACAGTCCTGAGACAATGCCATTATAGAGAATAGACATTCATGTGACAGTCCTGAGACAATGCCATTTTAGAGAATAGACATTCATGCGACAGTCCTGAGACAATGCCATTTTAGAGAATAGACAGTAATGCGACAGTCCTGAGACAATGCCATTATAGAGAATAGACAGTAATGTGACAGTCCTGAGACAATGCCATTATAGAGAATAGACAGTAATGCGACAGTCCTGAGACCAATGCCATTATAGAGAATAGACAGTAATGTGACAGTCCTGAGACAATGCCATTATAGAGAATAGACAGTAATGCGACAATGCCATTATAGAGAATAGACATTCATGTGACAGTCCTGAGACAATGCCATTATAGAGAATAGACATTCATGTGACAGTCCTGAGACAATGCCATTTTAGAGAATAGACAGTAATGCGACAGTCCTGAGACCAATGCCATTATAGAGAATAGACAGTAATGCGACAGTCCTGAGACAATGCCATTATAGAGAATAGACAGTAATGCGACAGTCCTGAGACCAATGCCATTATAGAGAATAGACAGTAATGCGACAGTCCTGAGACCAATGCCATTATAGAGAATAGACAGTAATGCAACAGTCCTGAGACAATGCCATAATAGAGAATAGACAGTAATGCAACAGTCCTGAGACAATGCCATTATAGAGAATAGACAGTAATGCGACAGTCCTGAGACCAATGCCATTATAGAGAATAGACATTCATGCGACAGTCCTGAGACAATGCCATAATAGAGAATAGACAGAAATGTGACAGTCCTGAGACAATGCCATTATAGAGAATAGACATTAATGTGACAGTCCTGAGACAATGCCATTATAGAGAATAGACAGTAATGTGACAGTCCTGAGACAATGCCATTATAGAGAATAGACAGTAATGTGACAGTCCTGAGACAATGCCATTATAGAGAATAGACATTCATGTGACAGTCCTGAGACAATGCCATTATAAAGAATTAGACATTCATGTGACAGTCCTGAGACAATGCCATTATAGAGAATAGACATTAATGTGACCATGGTGACAGTCCTGAGACAATGCCATTATAGAGAATAGACATTAATGTGACAGTCCTGAGACAATGCCATTATAAGGAATAGACAGAAATGTGACAGTCCTGAGACAATGCCATTATAGAGAATAGACATTAATGTGACAGTCCTGAGACAATGCCATTATAGAGAATAGACATTAATGTGACAGTCCTGAGACAATGCCATTATAGAGAATAGACATTAAAGTGACAGTCCTGAGACAATGCCATTATAAGGAATAGACAGTAATGTGACAGTCCTGAGACAATGCCATTATAGAGAATAGACAGTAACGTGACAGTCCTGAGACAATGCCATTATAGAGAATAGACAGTAATGCGACAGTCCTGAGACAATGCCATTATAAGGAATAGACAGTAATGTGACAGTCCTGAGACAATGCCATTATAGAGAATAGACAGTAATGCGACAGTCCTGAGACAATGCCATTATAGAGAATAGACAGTAATGCGACAGTCCTGAGACCAATGCCATTATAGAGAATAGACAGTAATGCGACAGTCCTGAGACAATGCCATAATAGAGAATAGACAGTAATGCAACAGTCCTGAGACAATGCCATAATAGAGAATAGACAGTAATGCAACAGTCCTGAGACAATGCCATTATAGAGAATAGACAGTAATGCGACAGTCCTGAGACAATGCCATTATAGAGAATAGACAGTAATGCGACAGTCCTGAGACCAATACCATTATAGAGAATAGACAGTAATGTGACAGTCCTGAGACAATGCCATTATAGAGAATAGACAGTAATGTGACAGTCCTGAGACAATGCCATTATAGAGAATAGACATTAAAGTGACAGTCCTGAGACCAATGCCATTATAGAGAATAGACAGTAATGTGACAGTCCTAAGACCATCGCCATTATAAGGAAATGTGACAGTCACTTTCCTCTCACATCAAGCTGACACACTGTGATAAAACTGAAATACAGTTCAAAGCAGTGTTAAGCTTAACTCAATTGTGTCAAACGCAAAGCCATCGATATCTATAACTTGTGGAAAGATAAAATTGCACGTTTTTTGTCAAGTATTGTCAACATTTGAAAGGTGAACTTTTTTCATGCAATGTTGGCAACCAATACTCATGAGATGCGGTTTCCTATGCTCATGATGATGATAGTACTACATGTATATTTATGTACATTACATACTAAAAATGGCATTTCCTCATGACAGTGACTAATCTTTTGAAGCATACTACACACAATATATATAGTTCCTGTTTCAACTTATAACTGAAATACTGTTCAAGTGTGTTACATCCAGCTGACTGACACTGTCTATGTAGACATTGAAAAGAATATTAAGTTAGTTATCAGAGGCTAGAAGGATTCCAGGATATTCAATATACCATATTCGATATAATAAGCGCCCAGGGCGCACTCAGAATTATTGAATATAATTTTGGTAAAAGATTTGAAAGATTGTAAATTTCGTGGTTTTTGCTTACAGCCTAAAATGATACAAAAGAAAAATCTGTGTGTATTGTTCACGACAGATATATTTTTCCGGAATTCAATTGCCCATAATTAAGGGTGCATATAACACATGAGTGTTATAGACGAATAGATAAGTCTTGTGTACATTGATCATTCAGAAGGGTGCTAATTGGGATTGTTCACTAGCTAATATATTAGGAAATATCGCCGTGGGGCGCTTGTTACGTCGAATGCGGTACGTGTGATGATGAGGGAAACTGTTGTGTCAAGCTTCATCAGTTTGAAAAGAATGAGGGGCAGTCGGGTAGCCTAGTGGGTTAAGCGTTCACTCGTCACGCCAAAGACCCGGGTTCGATTCCGGACATGGGTACATTTCTGGAGTCCCCCGCCGTGATATTGCTGGGATATATATTGCTAAAAGCAGCGTCAAACCCTACTCACTCACTGAAAAGAATGCTGGTCTCATTTGAGTGCAAATGTCAGTCTGTCACGTGATCTCACATTAATTTATAAAAAAAAAGTATCAATCAAGCTCAGTAGTCCGACTTTCGTACAA